AACAAAGTGTGTGCAGTATCCCCTGAGGCATTGCTGAGGGTGCGAGTTACAGGGAAAAGAAGTAGGAGAGTGGAGATTTTGACAAACTTTGATCAAAGTCTTTTTTTTAAATATATATTTTATTGATTTTTTACAGAGAGGAAGAGAGAGGGATAGAGAGTTAGAAACATCAATGAGAGAGAATCATTGATCAGCTGCCTCTTGCACCACCCCTACTGGGGATGTGCTCGCAACCAAGGTACATGCCCTTGACCGGAATCGAACCCGGGACCTTTCAGTCTGCAGGCCGATGCTTTATCCATTGAGCCAAACCAGTTTCAGCTGATCAAAGTCTTTTGAACACACAAAAAAAAATATCTTTTTCTTTAGGGCCAAGGAACAAGGAAGTGAAAGGTACATGTCCGGGTCTCGGGCTGTTGGAGAAGATCATCCCTGAGCTTGTGCGAGCTCAGACTCACTCCACGTGCTGACTCCTGGGGAGCCCTTGCATCATGCATGGGCCAGAGGGGATCCAGGCGGACGGCTCAGAGGTACATGGTGATTTCCTCATACTTTGGCGGCCACAGTGTTTTGGCTGAAGTAGTGATCTCCCCCGAGCTGCTCCCACAGCCTCCAGCAGACCTGTTCAATCATTCACTTGCTCATCAAACATGTATTACTTGTGTTTTATTTATTTAAAAATATTTTTATTGTTTTCAGAGAGGAAGGGAGAGGGTGGGAGAGATAGAAACATCGATGAGAGAGAGAATCATTGATTGGCTGCCCCCTGCATGCTCCCAAATGAGGATCGAGCCTGCAACGTAGGCATGTGCCCTTGACCAGAATCGAACCTGGGACACTTCAGTCCACAGGTCAATGCTCTATCTGCTGAGCCAAACTGGCTAGGGCCATTACTTGCGTTTTTATAAGACACTGTACCTAGAGGCTGGCGTAAAGGATGAAGCAGGTGACAGTTTACCAGAACGGGGCTCTGGAGTCTTTATTCTGTTTGGTACACAGAGAAAATCATACCATTTGTATGTCCCACTGAGATAAGTTGGGACAAAGAGTGGGGAGTAGCTGAAACCGGTTTGGCTCAGTGGATAGGCCTGCGGATTGAAGGGTCCCAGGTCCCAGGTTCGATTCCAGTCAAAGGCATGTATCTTGGTTGCAGGCACATCCCCAGTGGGGGGTGGGGGGTGCAAGAGGCAGCTGATCGATGTTTCTAGCTTTCTATCCATCTCTCTTCCTCTCTGTAAAAACTCAATAAAAAAAAAAAAGAGTGAGGAGTAGGTTTGAGGACATTTGTATTTGTTTTGGTAAAAAAAAATTAATTACACTTTCTACATATTGTTTAATTATGATCTGAAACATAAAATGAAAGCATTAGAGATAGCATTAAATATTGAGCTTAGCCCAGCCTCTGTAGCTCAGTGGTTGAGCATCGACCTATGAATTAGGAGGTCATGGCTCAGTCCCAGGTCAGGGCACAGGTTGTGGGCTTGATCCCCAGGGAGCGTGCAGGAGGGAGTTGATCAATGATTCTCTCTCATCATCGACATTTCTATCTCCCTCTCCCTCTCTCTTCCTCTCTAAGATCAATAAAAATATATTTAAAGAAAAACTGAAAACATTTACAAAAGCTAAAATATTTAAAGAAATGTGTTTTTTAAAAAATATATATTTTATTGATTTTACACAGAGAGGAATTGAGAGGGACAGAGAGTTAGAAACGTTGATGAGAGAGAAACATCGACCAGCCGCCTCTTGCACACCCCCCACAGGGGATGTGCCCGCAACCAAGGTACGTGCCCTTGACCGGAATCGAACCCGGGACCTTTAAGTCCGCAGGCCGACGCTCTATCCACTGAGCCAAACCAGTCCTGGCAAGAAATGTGTTATTTGTCTTTCATTAACAACAATGCAATGGAAATTTCTTTTGACAACATTAATGGACTTTAAATTCAATCAAACTCAGGTCAAACACTTTAAAGTAATAACAGAGCTCTGATTTAAAGCACGTTCCTTTGAGGTTGATATCCCCTTGGTATGTACTGCTATTCACCGTGTATGGCTAGCTGGATTCTGTTCTGATTGGCAATGTCTGCGCCATCTCGGATGTTAACTATTTTCACTCTCATCCTGCCCAGAAGCATTATTGGAGCGGCCACGCTGAAGTTAGCTTGGACATCAGACAAAAATGGATGGAGGTATCTCATCCTTATCTCTGGTAGAACACTGTTAGGGTTTTAAGAGAGTTTCAGAGTGGTTTTAGCATGGGTTCATCTGAACGCTGGGAGTGAGGAGCGAGCTGGGAGCTGGGGAGGGAGCATTGCAGGCTGAGGATGAGGCACGAGCAAAGTTAGGGGGCGGGAGAGAGAGAGGGACTGCAGAAGGTGAACAATGGCAGGAGGGACAAGTGCAGGAAGATGCATCATGGGAAACACGATGAGAAAGGTGGGCTGGCTTCAGGCTTCACACAGTGTGATCTGGCAGAGAAGACTGTGAAAACAGCGCTGAAACCCAGATAGACTCTAGAGGTGGGAAGGCCTGAACCAGAGTAGCTGCAGAGGGAAGGAGTGGAGGCTTGCGGCAGGACTGTCGGGACTTACCAGAGGACTGGGCAGAGGCAGGGTCCAGGACACGGAGGTGGAAAGTCCGCTGAGCTTGCAGCCCACCTCAGGTGCTGTCAAAACGCCCAGGTGGGGGCTCAGCGGTTGAGTGTTGACCTATAATCTAGGAGATTACAGTTCAATTCCGGGTCAAGGGCATATGCCCGGTTGCAAACAGCCAATCAATGATTCTCTTTCCTCATTGGCATTTCTCTTTCCCTCTCCCTCTCCCTTTCTAAAACCAATAAAAATATAAAAGACAAAACCAAAAAGCACCCAGGTGGATTGATGATTCTCTTCCATCATTGATGTTCTCTCTCTCTCTCTCTCTCTCTCTCTCTCTCTCTCTCTCTCTCTCTCTCTCTCTCTCTTTAAATACATTTTATCGATTTTTTACAGAGAGGAAGGGAGAGAGATAGAGAGTTAGAAATGTCGATGAGAGAGAAACATCGACCAGCTGCCTCTTGCACACCCCCTACCGGGGATGTGCCCGCAACCAATGTACACGCCCTTGACTGGAATCGAACCTGGGACCTTTCAGTCCGCAGACTGACGCTCTACCACTGAGTCAAACCGGCTTCGGCGATGTTTCTATCTCTTTCTCTCCTTCTCCCTTCCTCTCTGAAAGAAAAAAGAAGAAAAAGCACCCAGGTGTCGAGCTAGCAAATGGGTGACTGAATGACTGAGATTTGGGCTGAGTGACCAGCCTCCAGGTGAAAACTGTCACTGGAGGTGAGATAGGTATAAGGAGAGCGGGGGCTCACCTGGCCAAAGAGGCCGCCTGAGGGGATAGAGAGAGGTTGGAGTTATTGCCCCCGAGTGCCTGGCACATAGTAAGCACTCAAATATTAGTGAGAAAAATAAAAGAAAAGCCAGGAGTAAGGAAATGCAGGACAAGCGATATGAAACAGAGGTGGAATCTGGGTAGAAACAAGAGATCATTGTATTTGTTCCAGGAAATGGGGACCTACTTCCCAGCAGCCTCTTCCAAACCTGAACGTCCCTCACTGACCCTTAGGAAGCTGCCAGGCCTAATGGGTGGGATTTATGTGCACCGCCTCCCACCCCGCCCCCACCGCAAAGGTTATGATTCTATGAACTCGGGCCTTTCCCATTCCATCTCAACCTCTGGAAGTCAGAAAATATATAGATGCCACCAAATGGCTGACGTCACCATACAAACCACTTCCTTTCCCCCCACTAATCTTCCTCGCCCCCCCCCCCCCCCCCCCCGAGGAAGAGGACTGCAGAGTGGGCTTTGCCTGGGAGACCTTTTTAGAAATTTGTTTAGAAAAGCTCACTGCTTCCTAAGAATCCCTCCAGGACATTATTTTTAAAAAGGTGTTTTTACTTGCTCTCGCTTAGAGACAAGTTTCCCTTCAAACCGCTCGGGTTTTAAAAACTAAAACAAACAGCCGAAACCGGTTTGGCTCAGAGGTAGAGCGTCGGTCTGCGGACTGAAAGGTCCCAGGTTCGATTCCGGTCAGGGGCATGTACGTTGGCTGCGGGCACATCCCCAGTAGGGGGTGTGCAAGAGGCAGCTGGTCGATGTTTCTCTCTCATCGACATTTCTAGCTCTCTATCTCTCTCCCTTCCTCTCTGTAAAAAATCAATAAAATATATTTTAAAAAAAATAAAAAAAACTAAAACAAACAAACAAACAAACAAACAAACAAAAACCCTAGCTGGTTTGGCTCAGTGGATAGTGTCTGGCTGCGGACTTAAAGGTCCTGTGTTGATTCTGGTCAAGGGCATGTACATTGGTTGTGGGCACATCCCCAGTAGGGGGTGTGCAGGAAGCAGCTGATCATGTTTTTCTCTCATCGATGTTTCTAGCTCTCTGTCCCTCTCCCTTCCTCTCTGTGGAAAATCAATAAAATATATTAAAAAACAAAAACACTCTTACTCTAAAAAATACACAACAAAAACATTCAAACAAAAACACCCTAGCTGGTTTGGCTCAGTGGATAGAGCGTCAGCCTGCGGAAGGAAGAGTCCCAGGTTCGATTCCAGTCAAGGGTACATGCCTGGGTTGTGGGCTTGATCCCCATTAGGGGACATGTAGGAGGCAGCCAATCAGTGATTCTCTCTCATCACTGATGTTTCTAACTCTCTTTCCCTCTCTCTTCCTCTCTGAAATCAATAAAGATCTATTTTAAAATAAAAACAAAAACAAACAAAAAAAATCTTACTCTAAGCAGAAGAAGCTGCCAAGGTCCTGGGGGTGGGGTAGGGGCAGACACACTGGGCAGGGCCCGTGGGGCGAGCAGGGAGCCCTGGCCTGGCTTCATTCATCAAAGAAGCCAGAGGCCAAAGTCCAGGCCGGGGTGCTGGGGCCCCTCCCCCGCCTCCAGCCCGGCGCCCCTGCCCTTTGAGCCGCGGGACAGGCTGGCCAGGCGGCGGGACGGGATGCTGCGGCTGCTGGCGGCCCGCTGCGCCCGGGGCCCGGGGGCCCGCGGGGGGCACGGCACCCACTGCCCCCGGCGCCCGGCCTCCGACGCCCCCCGGAACCTGCCCCCCAGCTCGGACGCCGTGGCGCGGCCCGTGGGCGTCTGCTCCATGATGCGGCTGCCGGTGCAGGCCTCCCCGGAGGGGCTGGACGCCGCCTTCGTCGGGGTGCCCCTGGACACGGGCACTTCCAACCGGCCCGGGGCGAGGTAAGGCCCCCGGGACGGAGGGACGCGTGGCTTGGTAACCGGAGGGCCGCGGTGCCTCTGCTCACCAGGCCCAGATGGAATTTCTCTTTTTCTTTATCAGGCATGACTGGCCTCACTGGTAAAGAAAAGGGGGTTCTTCCATGCTGTGATCCCCAGCCTTGCGCGGGGGGGGTGGAGGCCGGGGTGACACAGCGCACAGGGGCTGGTCGCTCCTTCCTAAACCTCCAGGGGTCACCTGCTGCAAGAATTGCTCAGGCGAAGGCCCTGGCCGGGTAGCTCAGTTGGCTAAAGCGTGGGGCCTGTAAACCATGGTTGCAGGTTCCATCCCCTGGTCAGGGCACATACAAGAGTCAACCAGCCCTAGCTGGTTTAGCTCAGTGGATATAGCATCGGCCTGTGGACTGAAGGGTCCCAGGTTCGATTCAAGTCAAGGGCACATGTCTGGGGTGTAGGCTTGATCCCCAGTATGAGGCATGCAAGAGGCAGTCCATCAAAATATATACACCAATGAATGCATAACTAAATAGAACAATGAACTGATATCTCCTCTCTCTCTCATCAATCAATAATAATAATAAAAAGAATTGCTCAAATTAAGTCAAATTTTCTAAATTCAAGTCAGAGATGATAAAATTCATTTTTCTAATTATTGAGCTTCAGCTATTTCTGGTTCAGCTCAGCAGCAATACATCTGACTGCCTGTCTATATGATAAATGCCACCTTATTAAAAGCCGACCGAGTGCAAGGCTCTTTGCATAGATAATTTCATTTAACTACAACCATGAGGTGAGGTAAGTCTTGTCATTGCTTTACAGGTTAGGAAGTTATCCAATGCCATTGAATAAGTTGGGGGGCTCCTAAATCTGTGCCTTTATTTTCTCTTTCTCTCTCTCTCTCTCTTATTTTTTAAACCTGTCTTTATTGTTGAGAATATTACATGTCCCCCACCTTTAATCTCTTCAATATGCAGCCTGGAACAGTGATTCTTGATCAGGGTTTTTTGGGCAGAGTCTGGAGTCATTTTGGGGTGCCAGACCTGCAGGAAGGGGTGCTACTGGTCTCTAGTGGGAACAGGCCAGGAATGCTGCTCAACATCCTACAAAATCGCACCAAGATGGGCGGCCATAACATCCAGCCCCCAATGCCACCCAGGAGCCCCTCCCTAGATGGGGCCCCTAAGCCTTTGCGGATGCTCACAGGACCTTCCGTCTTCTTCCAGATTTGGACCCCGGCGGATCCGAGAAGAATCAGTGATGCTTCGGACAATCAACCCCAGCACGGGGGCCCTCCCCTTCCAGTCCCTCATGGTTGCAGACCTCGGTGACGTGAATGTCAATCTGTACAACCTGCAGGACAGCTGCCACCTCATCCAAGAGGCCTTTCAGAAAATCGTGGCTGCTGGCTGTGTGCCCCTGACCTTGGGTAATGGCATCAGCAAGGGCAAGGGCAGCTGGCCGTGCTCAGGGACGGCTTATCCTGTCGTCCAACGCAGCTGCTTCTCCAGGGCCGGCCACTGGGACGCGGGGACAAGAGCATGGAGCCCGTTATTAATGCATGCATCTTAATCCCCGGGGAGAGGGCATGTCAATGCTGGACTAGTGTGACAGACAGGATTGGATCAGCGGGAGGCATTCGCCTCGGTGCAAAATGTAAGGGGTGCCCCAAAAGGCAACAGCATTCCTGATTTTCCTTTTTTGCCTCAGGCTCCTCTATGGCTTAGAAAAGCACCATTACTGGCCCCATCTTTCTTTAAAATTGATCATGGATTCTATTATTATTATTATTATTATTATTATTATTATTTAAAGCATGTTTGTTACAGCTGGGGGCAGTAAAACCAGGAGGGGCTTATGATAGGAAAAGGAACAGGAGAGCCCAGGGGGCTGCTTTGGCTCACTGGAACCTCTGAGAAATGGGGCCTGGGGGACAGGACCAGGCTGTTTTTTTTCCCCCATGAAATTTTGTTTTGTTTAATGTTACTTAAAAGTTACTTGATTACCGTATTTCCCGGCGTATAAGACGGCCCCCTAATTTTACAGTTAAAACATAGGTTTAGGCCTATATTCGCTGTATAAGACTACCCCCCACTTCAAAGAAAAGACTTACTTTGCCGTCAAGATCTGCAGGTAATTTTTGTGCAATTTTGGTCTCTTGCCCCCGATTTTCGGTTGACTTTTTTTCGTTTCAAAAGTCGTCTTATACGCCGGAAAATACGTACTGAGTTTCTCGGCATCCCTTAAATTTTGCATCACCTTCAGTACACAGGCTGATGCTCTATCCACTGAGCCAAACCAGCACTTCTTCTTTTAAATGACAACGTAATTTCAAACATCCAGTGTCCCTTTCCTCTCGGAACAAGACCTTATTTAGCTGGGCTTGTAGTTCTCCAGTCTAATAGATAGGGGGGCAGAATCGGACAAGTTGAGGATTGTTCTGGGTAAGGCACAGTCCTCTCCTCTTACCCCATTCAGATGTTTTCTCTTTTCTCGTTGCAGGTGGAGATCACACAATCACATATCCTATATTGCAGGCCATGGCAAAAAAGTAAGTCCCAACTCTCTGGGCCCAGGCACGGTTTCAAAATTCAGGAGCTGGGAAATGAGTTGTTTGCTGCCAAAGGGCATCAGGTGACCGCGGCTGGCTCAAGTTATTGGGGGTGATTGGGACTTCCCGACCGAGTTGCTGTTGCGGATCAAAACGAAGGTCGGGCTCCAGGCGTCCCTGTCAGTCACCAGCTGGGAGTCAGGACTATTATTAACACCTCGGCTGCCTGCCCTTGGCCTGCGTCTGCTCTGGGATGCATGCTCAGCGTTGGCCTCTGTTTTGGGGAGATGAGCTCCGAACCCCAGTTAACTTGTTTCTGTTTTGCTCAAAAGCCAGTCCTACACATTGACAGGCTCAGGGGTGCTGCTTGCGGAGGAGGGGCCCTTCCCCAGAGAAGCTGGGAGAAGCTGGCTCTCCCAGTAGCAGAAGTCTACCGGGGATGGACTAACTGTGAATTAGCTCCAGAAAGGGACAGATGGGCCACGTTGGTGGCAGCTCCAGAACTCATGGAGGGGAAAGACGCGTGGGTAGAATTCTGACTGGGGGGTGGGCGGGTGCAGGCATTTCTCGAGGCTGTTTGCCTAGCATTGCTTTGGATCGTGTATTTCTTCTGGGTGGCCAGCTGGGTTGATGAAGATGATGGTGAGAGAGCTGGGGCCAGGCTGCTTCTTGGGGCTACAGCTGAGCTCCCCTTTCGTGGTCATCTGCCCAGCTCTCCCCATCTGTGAGTGAGGAACTCCTGGGTGATAGGCAGTGGGTGGCAGCTGAGCCTCAGGTCTATTTTGGGCCTGACTTGTCTGAGTGAATTGCTCTGAGATGCTAAGTCATTTGAAGACAGAAACCGGTTGCAAGGCCTGGAACTGTTGCCAGGTCCCCCCTCCTGGGCTCTGCACCCTCATCGGGGTTTGGGGGCCTGGAGGGTGGCTGTGCTGAGTCCCACGGAGGAGGCCTGGCCTCTGAGCTGCCCTGCTGTCACCAGGCATGGCCCTGTGGGGCTGCTGCACGTGGACGCTCACACGGACACGAATGACAAGGCCCTGGGAGAGAAGATCTACCACGGCACGCCCTTCCGCCGGTGCGTGGAGGAGAAACTTCTGGACTGTAAGCGCGTGGTACAGATTGGCATCAGGGGCTCCTCCATGACCCTGGATCCCTACAGATACAGCCGGAACCAGGTGACAGGCTGCGTGCCCTGCCCTCTGGCCCCCGCCCGCACAGGGCCCCCCTCTCCACGGCTCACTTCGTGGCGGCCATGGATTCCATGAGGCTTTAGTAAGCAAGTTCAGAAAAGGGGAGGACGGCTGTGTTGACACGCTGAGGGTCACGTACAGAGAGAGGAGCGAGGGCGAGAGTTCAGAGGCAGAGGAGGCCTATGGCTGGGGTGGGGAGACCAGCAGGGACGAACCAACCCCTGGGGTGAGCTGGGGAGGCCCCCACCCGAGGTGAGGGGACACCTTAGTCCTCTTCACACCACCTGGGCAGAGTGGTCTTGTTACAAGACCCCACAGAGAAAGCCCGAGTCCCCATGCAAAGGCCGGTCTTGTGGACAGAGCTGTGGAGGAAGTGCTCGGAGGAGCTGTCCCCAGGTTCTCGCTCTTGCTTTAGCCGAGCTTCTCTCCAATCCCATCTCCGTAGGTCAGCTTGGACTTCCTCCCTGCCTCCCTCGTCATCGCCCCTCCATGCCTCGCCTGTAACACGGGGTGGTAGTTCCCTCCTCGTGAAGGTTCAGGGTCCCATGGGATGGGCGCATAGCGCTGAGCGTGGGGTGGGCACAGGGAGATGCTCGGGCAGTGTGCCCTGCAGACGCCTTGACCTGCCCCTCGTCCATGCCTCCATCCCCAGGGTTTCCGGGTGGTCCTGGCCGAAGACTGCTGGATGAAGTCCCTGGTCCCTCTGATGGCAGAGGTGAGGCAGCAGATGGGAGGCAAACCCATGTACATCAGCTTCGATATTGACGGCTTGGACCCGGCCTACGCCCCAGGGACAGGGACACCGGAGATTGCTGGCCTCACCCCTAGTCAGGTATGGAGGCTCCATGGTGACCATTCCTGGGGGTGAGGATTCTTTTTATATGTATATAGGGGTGAGGATTTTAATGTCCTGCTTTCCTGGGCCTTGTGGTGAGTCTTCAGGAATCGGGATAGGATCCCCCCCCCCCCCTTTCTTTTTCTTTAAAAAAAATATTTTATAGATATTTTACAGAGAGGAAGGGAGAGGGATAGGGAGCTAGAAACATCGATGAGAGAGAAACATCGACCAGCTGCACCCCCCCCACTGGGGATGTGCCCGCAACCAAGGTACATGCTCTTGACCGGAATCGAACCCGGGACCCTTCAGTCCGCAGACCGACGCTCTACCACTGAGCCAAACCGGTTTCAGCTCCCCTTTTCTTACAGTAGTGATGAAAAAAAAATATTGTTGAAAGTATTACATGTATCCCCTTACCACTCCCAGGATAGGGTTTTAAAAGCCGGTACATCGGCCTTTACTGTTCTCGGGGTTTTAGATACTTGACTCCCTGAGGACTGAGTTTTAGCCAAGGCGCTCATTTCTTATTGGGCTATTACAGTCCTTCATTTGCTTTTCCTGCTGCTGGTCCTGCTGTAGTTGGCCTCTGGGATCCGTACTGTAGTACCCCTCTCACGGACAGTAAGTCTATCATTTTGGGATAAGAGTTTAAAAAAGTACGCACAGTGGGATTAACCAGCTACCAAGGTAGTTCAGGAGTTTTAGAACTATCCAAGGAATCCCTCAGAGGACGAGCTGAGCATCAAGGCAGGGAGGCAGGCCTGGAGCGTGGTTACAGCGAGAAGGTAAGCTCCAGGGGGTGGAGGCCTTGGGTTCACTACCCTGTCCTTGGAGCCTAGCGTAGTGCCTGACACATACATGGTAGGCCCTCGAATTCCTCTTGCGAGGAAACGAAGATCGTTGAACCCCAATCCATTGCCTCACGCCCTCCAAGAAAGGATGCTGACAGCTGCCTCTTCAGAGCCCTTTCCCGTCCCCGCCAGAGGTTTCTCACACACAGACCTCCTTCCTCAGCGTCTCGTCCTTCTGGGCTTTGCACCTGCACCACGGAAACTCCTTGAGACAAAACGGTTCTTCCTTCCATCGCCTCCTGTCCCTGTCCCCCTGCTGTGACTGACCCGGGTACTCTCTGTCTGGGTGCCTTTTCCCTCTGCTGCGCTGCCCTTCCCTGCTCAGCTGCTTGGCCAACCTATTGCGCTAAGTGCTTCCTCCTTGGGGAGGCCCTCCCCGCCTCTTCCGGCTGTTACGTGTTCCTATCCCGTGCTCCGCTTGTTTTTCTCAAAGTCCTCTGTGCGTGCCATTGAAATGGTTGGCTTGCTCGTCCCCATCACCACACTGTGGAGCAGGAACTGGGTATCGCTCAGCTGTGATGCCCACCAGGGTGCCTGGCAGTAAATGCTTATGAGGAGAAGCAATGGTTCCGACTCAGAAGGTGGGCACGTGTTGGGAGAAAGCCACGGAGGCCCTTACCGTTTTCTTTCTTTCGTGGTCAATGATTCCCACGTGGCTTGCTTGTGGACAGGCTCTGGAGATCATCCGGGGCTGTCAAGGCCTGAACGTGGTGGGCTGTGACCTGGTGGAAGTCTCACCGCCGTACGACCCTTTTGGTGAGTCAACGAGAGACCTGTGATCTGCAGGCTGCGAGTTCAGATTTTATTCATCTAGTGAATAGGTAGCAGGTGGACAGGCCCTTGTGCGTAACTCAGAACCTGCTGAGAACGTCCTACAGTGAAGAAAATAAGCCTGTTGTTGCGTGCCTTAGAGACACAGCTAATGGGCCCTAACCAAACCCCTGGAGGCAGCTAAGTATTATTTGCTTGCCCACTGGCCAGCAAAAGGCAGGAACGAGCCTGCAGCTTAGTGACGAGGTGGCTCACGACCATCCTGCTGATAGTTCAGAAAAGTGAATTGCCAAAGGATAAATAATAGTTACTAATTCATAAAGTGGGGAGTCAGTTGGCTTAGAAGAGAGGCTCAAAGCAGATGCCAGCCTCAGAATTTTAATTTAGAAAGCCTTACAGTTAGGCCTACTAGCCTCAGAGGATAGATAATAAATACAATACACGCTATTATTATACGTTTCATTTCTGAGATTAAACAAAGGACCTTCTGTATTTTAAAATCACTATTTCTAAGTGGTTGATGGAGCAGGATGCCAGGGAAAGCGTGTCTGTAGGAGGGCTGGCCAGCCCTGAAAAGATACGGAAGGCGGGGCCGAAAGGGAAGACAGGGCAGAGGGCTGAGCAGTCCTGAGAGGCGTGGCCTGGGAGGTGGTCTTCACGCTGGGTGTACTTCTCTGTAGGTAACACGGCCCTCCTGGCGGCCAACCTGCTGTTTGAGATGCTGTGTGTTCTCCCCAAAGTGAGAGTCGTCTGAACCTCGTGCCCGTCAACACGGAACAGATTGCATCCAGGACAAATTCTCAAGCATCTGCCAGTGCTAACGAGTTTGTGCCAATAAAACTTTCTGCTCCAAGCGTCACTGGTGGCTGTAAAATCAGGGCACAGAGCAGAACTGGAATCCAGACAACTAACATTTCTGAGGAGTTTGAATTAACAAAGCAGTAGCACTTGTGCTGATTTCTTCCTTTAATGAAAGGTGATGGAGGATAAAGGGGGAAGGGATGGAGATTTTAGTTCAAAGCTGGAGGAATTCCTCTAAAAATTGGAGGAATTAAATAAAGACTAATTTCGTGCACCAAACCTCTAGCACTGTATAAATCTTCTATATTTCCATAGGGTCTTCCTTTAAGGCAGGGGTGGGGAACCTCTTTTCTGCCAAGGGCCATCTGGACATTTATAACATCATTCACTTAGTATCAATTTATGTTGAAAGAAGCTTGGTGGTTTATTGAATCTCGAGTCCCGCCTGCGGTTGTCTTGGCAGGGCCAGACCAGATTACTTCTCCGGCCTCTACAGCCCGGGGGCCGGGAGTTCCCCACCCGGCTTTGAAAGAAAGTCACGCAAAGATCCTAATAACCTTCCCACTCAAAAGCCCAGGAGGGTACGCGAAACGCCTTCTAAATCAGCCGACACCAGCTGGCCTCCCAAGAGCCCTCCTCAAGCTGTTACACATTGTCCGCTCTTCCAGCGGCCCTCCTCCAGGACGGAGTTCCTGAAGATCGTAAGCATGTGCTGAGTGAGGTACATGCAAACTCAGTTTCGCTGGGAATGGGTCCACGATAAATCATCTCGATGCAGGAGCTACCCGTAATCATCACACGTTAAAATAGTTTATTTCTGTTTCCAGTCGGTCATATTCTTAAAACAAAAATAACATCAACTTTAGTTATGTTCACAATACAAAACAAAAACAACATAAAAAAGGACACCATTTGCCAAATAAGTTATTTGTTCCTAAGAGTATCAAAAGTGCAAAATATTCACTTGCTTTTCAGATCTGTCTCAGAAGTCTAATTACAAACGGAACAGATAGAGCCGGCAGTTCTGCACTGCGTTTGCTTTCCGGGGACAATGGCAGGTGTTTGGATGTGAGCAACATTTCATTTGGGAACAGGTTTTGCTTAAAGAGTTTTCCTTAACATTTTCTTTTGAGTGTTTGCTTCTAATCCCACTTCCCAAACAAAGCAAATCATCCAAACACATTCAGATCCCAATTCTCTTTATATCAGGAAAACACTTATGTGCTGAATGAGGAAATCAACCTGTTACTTGAAAACCACAACCAAGTTTCGTGGTCCGTGATGGCAGCGAGACCGTGGTGCCCAGTGGAAATGAGGGCAGCCTTTCTCACGGAACCAGCTTAGCTGGGCTGCCCACCTCTGCGTTAGACAAATCGTGCCCTGACACCTTGACAAGAAAAATATATTTGGTAAATGGGTGTGTGTTCTACAAAGCCTTTTAGGACCAGTTTTCATCCCCGTCTGCTGAACGTGATGTGTAGACTCTATCAACCAGAAAAAGCTACCTCTAAAATTACCCATGTTGTCTTCTGATTCGCATTCGAAAACTAGGAAGTTGAGACCAGAAGTGGGTCAGTGTGGTTACATACGTTAGGAAGAGAAATGGCGGCATTGGCTGAGCAGACTATGGCTCATACATTTGACACAAAAGTAAACAAATGAATGGAAACAACGTTCAGGAGGAGAGGCGTGGTGGCCAAGGGTGAAGTTCGTTTTAAAGGAAGACTCCTAGGATCCTCTGGGCAAGATACGGCTGCCTCAGAGAGATGTGGAGGATTGGTGGGCTGAAGTATTTGCCAGGAGTGTTTTCAATCCTATTATCTTTTCCTTCTTAGTGAAAATGGAAGGTGCTTTTAATTTTAATGATACAATTGTTAAAAATCCAATCTGGTGAGGTTTTGGTTTTCAGAAATGATGGTCAGGAATCCCATTAGTACCAGAAATTAAAATCTACCATAAAAGCAAAACATGCTCATTTAAGTAACCTGGCCCTAAAAGACCCAGGAAATAACTTTGAGGAGCCGAATGAATCCCGTGATCATTTCTACCCAGTCAGGTGCCCTCGGAGGCGGCTCTCAGGGTAAGCACCCACGTTTAGAGGACCACGTGGAGAGGGAAGCCTGGCCGTGATTCTTTACCTTTTCCAGAAAGCTGTAGATTCCATGCAAACTACAGAAATTCCTGGGCTCAAATAATTTACCATCTGTCCCTGTAGCTCGCTATTTCAGTCATTTGGGATCCAAATGGCTTTGTTTAAAGCGGTTATGATTAAAGAAAATACCGACTTACTTTGTCCCATCACTGATTTTGAACTTCCACTTGACAAATTGCCCTTAAAGGGCCACCTGCTTTGACAATGGAATGACTGCTGTCCGCACCCCATGGTAGTCTTGCCCTAAAGAGAAAAGGTAAGCTCTCTAGCTCTGGAGTGATCCAGCCTGGCGTCCATCTCAGCTTGAGCTCAGCCAGCTGGTGCCAGGACAGGTGGCGTAGCTGTAAGTTAGGAGTGAGATGATTGAGACGAGACATCAAAATACAGGAGCTCAGAGTAAGCCTTTTGCACAACAGGAGTCTAGAACAAGTCTTGGTTCACTTGTCACAAATGAGGACTTGAAGATACAGTACTTTTGGGGTAACTGCTCAAAATACGATTGCTGAGAAATGTTAGGTTCTTTGATACAGACGTGTCTGGTATTTTACTAGATACACCACTCATGGCAGGTGGGAATAGTTATGTCTTCAGTTTAACATCTACTGGCTTATAGCAGCTTATCCCTACGTTCAGAGAACAAGGTTCAAGTTATGGCTCCTAATATCCGTACCCTACGACTGACAGAGGCAGAAAGGCATCTAAAACACACGCGTAAATGGCTCAAGTCGTCACAGTACTTCTTGCCGTGCGGGTCCCTCTCGCTCCTTCTCGTGTTGGGGAGGCGGCCGAGGGGACGCTCAGGAGGGGGTCACTTCAGTCACTGCCCAGCCCTCCCTCTGCTGCCTTGGGGAAGAACCCAAACTCACAGGCAGAACCCCCACTCATCCCTATACTTTTCAAACCATGGCTGACAAACTGCAGTAGGGGGATACCCCCAAAATTGCCTTTAGCCGCTTACTGCCAGAAAGACTGCTGAACGTAAGATCCCATGGAGCCAGGCCTCGTTCAGGCTGTGGGTCCAGAAGCTGCTGTGGGCTGTCCCACGGTTACAGCATGCACCGCAGCAGAAGCTCAGCGGCCGGGGGTGGGCTGGGGGTGGGACGCGGGGGAGGCAGGTGAACACTGGGCCAGCGACCAGCACACCAGGCTCCTGAGGTTCCGTCCTGGTACTGCTGCAGGGCGAGCATCTGTGCTTCTCTGGGCACAGACCCAGGACGGGGGAGGGGCTGTGAGCGCGGACAGGACCGGAGGGAAGAGGAATGAGCCGTCTGTTTTAAATAGTGCGGCATTCGGACAGGAAAGAACACCCCAAAGGAAAATATTTTCACTCCTAGGTTAGGACAGGACAAAGCAGGACAAAGGAGAGGGTCTTCTCGCACTGCTCTACAAGAATCACCTAAAATCTAGACTCCGTCCGCTGTGAGAGTTGGAGTCCTGCAAATACCTGTGCGCGGGGCCTGCAGAGGGCCTGGGAGTTCCCCTCAGTCTAGCTCAGGCCAGGACGGGATGTAGAACCTCTGCAAGGAGCCTTCCAGCAGGCGCTCCATCCACAAGGACAGCTTGCTCAGTTTCCCTTTGAGGGGCTTGGGCCCCAGGCCGCCGGGTTTCCCTCGGGACTCCCCCTCGGACAGGGAGGGGTCCGGATCACACGCCCCCAGGGCTTCCTCCTCCTCCACGGTTTTCTGGGGCTTGAAGAGGCAGAAGTACTTCTTGTGGCCGTTCAGAGCCAGCACGTAACCCGTGTAGTCGCGGTCCAGGAAGTGCTTGTCGTACTGGTTTGGAATGGGGGCTGCGTCCTGAGCAAATTCTAGCAGGTACTCGAGCCACTCCCTGTGCTTATCGAGACTCAGGAAGGAGAAGTGCAGGCAGCTGCTCCTGTGGGGGGAAGAGAGAGAAGACTCAGGGGCTTCCTGACACGTAGCTGCAGGGAACACAACACCTGCCAGTTCCAACAAGCACCGGCTCCACGCCGGGCGGGGCCAGGTGCAGGCATCACGCAGGATCCTGTGGGAGCTGAGGGCGCCCCAACAGCGACCCCCCTATCCCCGGCCCCTGGCTGGGTGTCACTTATGTCGCTCTCAGTGTCCGGCTCCAGGAAAAGACACAAGAGCTGGAGAATAGTTTCCTGAAAGGGCCCCGGAGGAACCGAGGGGGCAAGAAGTCAGGGGGGAAAGGCGCCCTCAGGATGGCTCCAGCTTCTGGCCTAGAGAGGTCCCAGCCACACAGCACTGCGCGGCCCCAGAGGAGGGGATGTAACTCCGCCAGCCCCCTCCTGCCCAGACATGCCTGCTGCCCCCCCGCCCCCCCTCACAGGCGCTTACCCAGTGAACGTGTAGACCTCCAGTGCAAACTTCTGCAGGAGGCTGGTCTTGGTGGAGTTGGACAGGATGAGGACCACGTTCATGTGGCCTGGCCGCAGGCGCACCAAGTTGCTGGTGTACGTCACATCCGTGAGCTCGGTCACCTCCACGAAGCCTTTTTTAGGGACCTTGCTGTGAAGGAATATGGTAGAGTTAAGATGTTATCAGGGGCCCAGCCAGTGTGGCTAAGTGTTGACCTATGAGCCAGGTCACAGTTCGATTTCTGGTCAGGGCACATATCTGGTTTGCAGGCTCAATCCCCACTGGGGGGCGTGCAAGAGGCAGCCAATCAATGATTCTCTTTCATCAATGTTTCTCTCTCTTTCCGCCCTCCCACTATGAAATCAATAAAAATATATTTAAAAAATATTATCATAGTAGTGGAATGCCATTACATTTAAAAGAAACAAGCAGAAGAAAGTGCTATGTTCAGAACATTTGAGATCTTGCTCCCCAGGATATGTTATCAGTTTGGCTCAAATAAACTCATAAAAATTCTCTTAAAAAAAAAAAAAATGGGAGCAACTAGGTCGGGAGCGGCAGTGACCAGACCCGGAGCAGCTGGTTGTGGAACGAACCAGAGCAACAGAGGCCAGGCCCTGAGCAGCCAGGCCCAGAACAGCTCGCTCCTCGCCTGCCCCTGCCCCACGGCTGCTTCTCAGACATGGCTGGAAACTTTCGTGGGAACTTGAGGGTCTGCTGAATCAAGTGATGAAGGCTTAGATCTGGATGTGTTGAGTTAGTATAGGGCTGGGGTGTTGATCTGTGAGTGCCTTGGATGGGGCCTGGATGAGGCTGGTGGACCTATTGGGAAATGTCTTTTGTGTGAAGTGTATCATTGGGCATGTGGAGGTATTATTGATATGAGAAAATGCTAAGTAACTGATTTACTATCTCAAAAGGGATTTACTATTGGGGAAAGGGAGGGAAGAAGAGACTGAACATAAACTGTGCACCTATGGATGAGGACAATGGGGGATGGGGAGGGGGCGGAGGGTGGGGTGGGAACCTGGTGGAGGGGGGAAGAAATGAGGAACCTTTGTAATAATATGAACAATAAAGATTGATTTAAAAAAAAAAAAATGGGCCCAGCTGGCATGGTTCAGTGGTTGAGTGTTAACCTATGAACTAGGAGGTCAGAGTTTGATTCCTGGTCAGGGCACATGCTCAGGTTGCAGGCTCAATCCCCAGTGTAGGGCTTGCAGGAGGCAGTTGATTAGTGATTCTCTCTCATCATTGATGTTTTTATCTCTCTCCCTCTCTCTTCCTGAATTAAAAAAAATATATTAAAAAAACAAAAACCCACTATGTTCTAATCAGACTAGATATGTTATTTAATACCAGAGGCCTGGTGCACAAAATTTGTGCCTGGGTAGGGTCCCTAGGCCTGGCCCTCTGTGTGAGGGATGATCAGCAGGGCAATCGGGGCCCTGGCACTGCCACCTACCTCGGGCAATTGGAGCTGGCTGGCCAGGGGGAGGGACCGAGAGGTAGGCCAACAGGCCCTGATCGGCAATCGATGGGGGCCTGCGGGCTGGTAGCAGCTCCTGTGTTGAGTGTCTGCCCCCTGTTGGTCAGTGCGTGTCATAGCTGATTGGCCATTCTGCTGTCAGGTCAATTTGTATATTATGCTTTTATATATATTATATATCTATATCTATATCTATATCTATATCTATATCTATATCTATATCTAGAGCCCAACGCACTAGGAGGATTGTGTGGTCCCTGCTTGGCAGTCCTGGGCCTACAGATACTCAGTTAAAGCAGAGAAGCTTTAGGACAGGATGCACCACTCTCTGCTTCCAGCTCATCTTGCATCTCTCTGATGTGCCTCTTTGTCTCCTGCCCTCACTGTTAAACCTGAGATGGAGAAATGATGACACCGGGCAGGAAGAGATCCAGTGTCTGCTGTGGAGAGAGTCTCAGTGAACGGGATTCCGCGGTGACGTTCCCTGATCCCACCCCCACAGCTGCAGGGGAGCCAGAGTTCTCTATACACACGGAGTCAAACTCTGCTTTATGAGACCACACAGGCTGTGGGTCAGCAGCCAGGGAGGTGGGCGTGGTGTTTTGTTAGACCGGGAGTGGGACTGTCTGGTCCGAAGGCCATATAAGGCCTGAAAAATCATTTAGTCTGGCCCTGCCGAGGCGTTAGGGGTGAGTTAATTAAATGTTTGACCAAAATGCCAAGACTGATTTGGCTCAGTGGATAGAGCGTTGGCTTGGGGACTGAAGGGACCCGGGTTCGATTCCGGTCAAGGGCATGTACCTTGGTTGCAGGCATATCCCTGGTGGGGAGTGTGCAAGAGGCAGCTGATCGATGACTCTCTCTCATCGATGTTTCTAGCTCTCTATCTCTTTCCCTTCCTCTCTGTACAAAATCAATAAAATATATTAAAAAAATAAATTAATAAAATAAAAATGTTCCCATTTAAAAAATAAAAAAATAAATGTTTGACCAAAAATAGCAGACTAGTTTTTAAGCTGATAATTTTGTGGGCCTGCGAGTGATCTTGTAAATATCCAGATGGCCCGTGGCGGGCCGTGTCAGACAAACCTGGTGCTCTCTTTGGTGAGGCTGGACACGGTCTTCTCGGCCTTCTCCTGGGCTTTCCTTTTGTCGGGATGTTTTGACTCACGATCATAGTTGGAGTCACTAACGTGAGAAAAAAAGGGAGTTTTACCAAAAAAGAGGACAAACCGCCATGAGGGTTGGGCCCTCCCTGAGAAAGCCACGCCGAGAAGCCGGGGAGGACTCACCAGAAGGCCTGGATGATGAAGGTGCCGAAGAGGACGAAGATGGTGGAGAAGGCCAGGGACAGGAGGGGAATCATTTCCCGCCTAAAACAAAGACAACAAGCTCACTCCTGCTCACTCTCCATGGGCTGCTGTGACGTCAATCAATGCCTTTAGGTTTCCTCTCTGGCTCAAAAGAACCAACCCCCAAACCACCACAAATGGAAAATAAGAAAATATTTCCTATCAATAAACACTTTCTATTTCCATAGGAAGAGAGGTTCCTGGGGGAGGGGAAAGCAGAGAGTCCCCGTGGACTGTGAGGAATCACAGTGTGCTTATTCTAAGTTTAGTTTTGTGTCTCCACATTACAGGCTGTGCCTGATACAGCCTGCAGAAGGACACAGTAAGGGGACAATAAAGGATTAAGGTTGTGAGCATAGACGGGGGGTAAATGGTGATGGATGGAGACTTGATTCGGGGTGGTGAACACAATACAGGTGCAGATACCGTGTTGAAGAACTGTGCCCCTGAAACCTGAGAAATTCTGTTAACCAGTGTCACCCCAATAGATTCGGTAAAAAGGCAAAATACACGTCGTGGGAAGAACATTCCGATGTCAAGGGGAGTTACGATGTACAGGCAGGGCCACCTACACACCGGACCACATGTGTGCCAGGCTCTGGGCCGGGCCCCGGTAAGGACAGTCCCGGGCTCTGTTGTCTGGAAGGGCAGCCAGTGGGAAACGAGTCCATCAGTAAATGTAAAAAAGTGAAGTTGTGGAAAGAAAGGAAAAGGGGAACGGTGCTGAAAATGTGTCAATATTCTTCCACCCACTATGGTGGATATACCTCATATCAAAGAAGAACAGACTCTTTTCAAAAGGAAAGAGCAGTCCTGCCATTCACCGAGCAAAAGGAACGCATTCTCACAACAGTCCTACCAGTTGTTGTGGTACAGGTCTTCCAAACAGCTTGCGATGCAGGAAGCAGCCGTGAAAAGCCACCGAACGAGGATCATCTATTGAGAGAATGAAGGATGGTCAGGACCGGGCTCCTGGGCCCCAGCGCGACAAGTCCTCAGCCCCACACAGCGCCGCTGCGGAGCCTCTGCGTGGCCCGGGAGCCACCAGCCTGCCCAGCGCCCGCTCTCCTGGCCCACACGCTTACAGGGGCAAGTTCATCGATCAAGTCGGGGAGCACAGCTTCCGAGGACAGAAGAGTGGAGTCTTTCCGCAGCTGCTCGAGGTAACTCAGGAGGACGAACTTATCACTCTCGCTCCCGGTCCAGGGGTCCTGCAGGGTCTTAAAGAGCACCCTGCCCCCCATGTTGCGCCTTTCTAAGATAGACACCTGGGAGGAAAGAGAAAAACTGTCAGAATTCTCAAAGAACGGTACGTCACTGGTGTCTGGTGTCTTTTCAGGGAGGATGGGGAAAGGGGTCTAGGGAAGTCAGCAATAATCTCAAACGCAGATGTGGATGAGTATAAAACATTTACGAGACTGAAATTTTTCTGACGAAAGAAATTGTGGCGGCTGTTTATGGCGACTTTCTGAAGCTTCTGTTAAAGTTAAAAGCTCTTCCTTTTATTTTATTTTTATTTTAAAAAAATATATTTTATCGATTTTTTACAGAGAGGAAGGGAGAGGAATAGAGAGTCAGAAACATCGATCAGCTGACTCCTACAGACTCCCCACTGAGGATGTGCCTGCAACCAAGAAACATGACCTTGATCAGAATCAAACCTGGGACCCTTCAGTCCGCAGACCGATGCTCTATCCACTGAGCCAAACCGGTTAGGGCAAAGCTCTTCCTTTTAATAAGCTTTGTTCGACAACCTCTTACTAATTTTTATAATACAGAAACCCTTTGTTTTTAGAGAGATTCTCCACAACTACCAGAAGGATGAAGAGAAAGCCAGGCATCTGAGAGTGATGACCCAGGGGAGAATGGAAGGAGAGATCAATTATGCTGTGAGTGCAGGAGGGGATATTTCGACGGCACCTTATTAGTAGTCTAGGAAAGATTTTGCAAACTAGATTCGCAAAACTAGACCTGCCATGGGCAAAACTGGTGAAAAGGATTGATGCTCTTCAATCTCTACTCATAGGAAAGGTGCTTTCTGTGAAGGTCAAAGGCGAAGATCTAGGAGGAGGTCACCAGGGTGAACGACTTCTAAGAGCAAGCTTTCAAAACGGGCTCAGAGATTTCTGGGTTTCCTGGAACTTGTATTCAAAGAGGAGTGCCTAACCGGTTTGGCTCAATGGATAGAGCATCGGCCTGTGGACAGAAAGGCCCCAGGTTCAATGCCAGTCAAGGGCATGTACCTTGGCTATGGGCACATCCCCACTGGGGAGTGTGCTGGAGGCAGCTGATCGATGTTTCTCTCTCATTGATGTTTCTAACTATCTCTCTCCTTTCTTCTCTGTAAAAAAATCAATAAAATATACTTTAAAAAAGTAACATTAAAAAAAACAAAACAAAAAAAAACTCCTGAGGAAATAGGACACAGAAAAGAGTGCCAGTGCTCGTTAAGAGCTGGGATCAGGACCAGGTCAGGGACCACGACTCACCACCGACTTCCCTCGGAACGCCTCGCTGTCCGGCAGGAAGGCGTTGGCAAACTCCGGCTGCCGATCGCTGTAGGCGTGCATGAACTGCAACATGTCTTGTGAGTTTGCCTTCGCGAAGGACAGGAAGGCCTCAAAGGGCTGACTGGACTTGGCGGCCTCAGGAGTCAGTAACACCACACAGTACCTGCACAACAAGACGCTGTGAGCGCTCCCGAGGCCACTGGAGCCTGATGGCAAGTGAGGGCGACGGAGAGGACGCTCACAAAGGAACCCGTTTACATTTACTCAAGACGTGAATGCATTTACTAAGGGAACTCCATGGTCAAAGTCTAATGGGAGGAGATTTCCAAGTAATTCCCGACATGCTTCTCTCCCAGACCGGTGATGTTTTCCCAGACCCCCCACCACGCTCCAGACTGCCGTCTGAGGCAATGGGCACTGCGCCTGGCTGCAGACGGGCCTTTCAGAACCATCGGGTCTGGTTCTCCACTGCAGGCCGGGCCGCTCCCCGCCCAGCTCCCAGGCCCTGAGCCTCATTCGTAAGGGCTGCCTTTGCAACGGCTCCGCTGGGAAGTTTGGCTTATCCTTCATTCATCCACTCTCCCCAGACTTCCCGCGCACTTCCTATGACCGTGCCTTGTGAAGCCTCTACTCGAGACCCGCAAAGACTCACCCCGCTATGGTGGGAATAGTTACTCTCTTGTACTCAATGCTTCTTTAAAGCAGCATCTCTCCCTGACACCTGGCTACTCATCTTCAGGTCTCAGCTGAAGGGTTACACGGCAGGCTGGCACATCCAAAGCTTAGTCCTAAGGGACCCTGAATTGATACACCCCTCTCCTGTAGCAGTTGTCAGTCAGTATTGGCTACATAAATAAACTCCCACCGCCCCAGGGGAGGTGGGAATGGCCTCAGGAAAGTGTGCGTGGCCCCTCCACTGCCAGGACAAGCAGAGAGAGCCCGGCCTTACTTCCGCTGGCGGTGAGACCGCTTCACCGGGCAGAGTTCCTGGAACAGCTTCTGGTTGGTGAGCCTGGTTGCAAACAGATACTTGTTTTGGGTGAAGAAGTTATTAATGGCCTCTTTTTTCATATGTGGGGCCTGGAAGAAAACCAAGAAATAGTTGACTTTATTCGTTTTCTCACTGCACATGAGCTTGTACATACAATTCAATAAAAACGAGGCTCACCCTGGCTATCCCATATAACAAAAGGCTAATATGCAAATTGACCAAAGCGGGGGTAGAAAGGGAAAGACGGGTCACTGTGACATGCACTGACCACCAGGAGGCAGACACTCAATGCCGGAGCTGCACACACACACACACACACACACACTGGTGTTATAAACGAGATTAGTGTTTAAACTGAATATACAATTTTGCATCCTGTTTGCTCTTTAATGTTCTATTATGAAGATAATCCCCATAATTAAGTATTCTTTTTTAAAAAAATATTTTTATTGATTTCAGAGAAGAAGGGGGATGGAGAGATAGAAACATCAATGATGAAAGAATCATTGACTGGCTGCCTCCCTCACGCCCCCTACTGGGGATCGAGCCCACAACCCAGCATGTGCCCTTGACTGGAATCAAACCCTGAGCCCTTTGGTCCACAGGCCAACAACGCTCTGTCCACTGAGCCAAATCAGCTAGGGCCAGTAAGTACTCTTGAATTGCCATTCTAAATGGCTATATAAGGTCCCTGCTTGAAATGTACCAATAATTACCGTATTTTCCAGCGAATAAGACGACCCCCTAATTTTATAGTTAAAACATAGGTTTAGGCCTATATTCGCTGTATAAGACTATACCCCCACTTCCGAGGCAACACCAGTTCTTTTTTTAATAGACCATCTCTCTGACTCCTTGGCCAATCTGAGCAGGCTTTTTTTCGTTTCAAAGTCATCTTATACGCCGGAAAATATGGTATCCTGCTGTTGGTTATTTATATTTTCCCCTCACTTTTGCTATTATGAGTGACATAACATCTGTGTAAGTAATTCTGACTGAGTTCCTATTCCCGTAGGAGAGGTTCCTAAAAGGTAATCTCATCTCCCTTAGGCCTTTACTCAAGCATGACCTTACTTTAAATGCAAACCTTCTTCCCCACCACTCCACATTCCTCTTGCCTGCGTTATTTTTAAAAAGAAATATATATTTTATTGATTTTTTTTTTTTACAGAGAGGATAGAGAGCTAGAAACATTGATGAGAGAGAAACATCGACCAGCTGCCTCCAGCACACCCCCTACCGGGGATGTGCCCGCAACCAATGTACATGCTCTTGACCGGAATCGAACCCAGGACCCTTCAGTCCACAGACTGACGCTCTATCCACTGAGCCAAATCGGTTTCGGTTGCCTGCGTTATTTTTCTCCTCAGCCCTTACCACTCACATTCCATAACAGAGTACATTAGGCTGTCTGTGGTCCCCACTAGAATGCAGGATGAGGAATTCTGTTGATTTTGGGGAGGGGGCCAGATCCCCATACACAGCGCAATGCTTGGCACAGACAGGGACTCAGGAGTACTCTTCATATATGAACTGAGGTAGCTGATCGTTTACCACCCAATTGCTTTTCTGAAAAATTTGATGAGTTTCTGTTTCTTTCTATCCTCAACATTTCCGAGTATTTTATTTTTATTTTGAAAACCTTTAACAATTTGATGGGAGAAGAAAATGTTAAATTTGCCTTTCTCTGATTATTAGTGAGATTTAATTTAAAAAAATGGATTTTTATTGGTTTCAGAAAGGAAGGGAGAGCGAGAAGGAAACATCAATGAGAGAAAATCACTGGCTACCTCTTGCATGTCCCTCAATGAGGATCGAGCCTGCAACCCGGGCATATACCTTGATTGGGAATAGAACTGTGATTTTCTGGTTCATAGGTTGATGCTCAACCACTGAACCACACTGGCAGGGCAAAGAGATTTAATTTTTAAAAGTTTATTAGTCACTTGAATCTCTTCTCAGAATTTTGATCATATTCTTAGCCCATTTTTTGGGAAAAAGTTTATTATTTGATTTTTGTGGTAAAATATACACAACATAAAACCTACCATTTTAACCATTTTTCAAGTGTGTAATTCTGTAGCATTATGGATCTTCACATTGTTCTGCAACCATCACTGCTACCCACCTCCCACACCTTTTCATCTTCCCAAATGGAAACTGTCCCCATCACAGACTAACTCCCCTTTCCTTACTCTCCCAGCTTCTGGCAACTGCCATTCTACTTCCTGTCAAAAGATGATCTTTTAGATGCCTGGCCAGTATGGCTCAATGGTTGAGCCTTATCCCATGAACCAAGAGGTCACTTAGATTTTGGGTCAGGGCACAGCATGATTTTCAGGCTCTATCCCCAGTAGGGGGGCATATGGGAGGCAGCTGATTGATGATGTTTCTCTCATTGAAGTTTCTATTTCTCTATCCTTTTCCTTTTCTCTCTCTAATATATATATATATATATAGATAGATAGATTACTTTTAGAGCAAAAGAGTACCAATCAGATGGGAAACAAACTTGCTTTTAAATCCTGTGCCTCTGAAGGAAGAAATGAAAAGCTAGTTTCTCCTCACCTGCTCTGCTCAGTTTTGCTGTTCGGTGTTGACATGAAGGCGTGAGATAAAATGCTGATACCAGCTGGCTCTCACGTACCTGGATGGCGTTTGCAGGCTTGTCTGTGTACTCTCTGAAGACCAGGATGGTGGGAGCATGGACGTTGACGTTGAACTGCCTCGTCATCTCTTCCGCCCCTCTCGTACCGACATGCACGTACCCAAATAAGAACCAGTCTTTGTGTGCAAACGCAGTCAGCTGTTAGGGCGTAACAGAGAGGAAGAAATGACATCGGTGGCACAGCATATAAATTACAAATCAAGTGTGACTTCTCACATCAGATGACACTAGCTTATTGAATAGCCCCACGTGGAATTTTATGGTGTTCATGTGCCAACAAAGCTCAACACAACTCTTCTTTCAGACAGAGAAAATCATCATCTTACTGAGATGGACATGGGGCAAGAGGCAGGGAGTGTTTAAGGAGATCTTGGTTGTTATAAACCACTCGAAGTTTCAGGATCTTGGTCTATAAAGCTGGGATGAAGTCTAGGTCCTTGGGTTTTTGTGAAGATTCAATGTGTCATGTGTGTGGAAAGCAGAGCATCAGGAGCCGCTCAGTGTTTAAGGCGAATTTCTGGTCTTTGAACATTTCTCATGGGATAAGCTTTTACCTACAGAAGGACACTCCCACAGAAATAAGAGAAAACTTTACTCCAGCACACAGAGTACCTTGAATGGCAGTGGTATATCCGGGATTTTGTCGAACAGAAGGACATGTGGTTTATTATCTTGCTGCCAGCCAGAGAGGAATTGGACATAATTTTTGTTTGTAACCTTCAATTGAAAAGAGGATGTTAATTTCAATATTGAATTTTTAACGATTGTATTATCATTCAATCAACAGATAGTTACATAAAATCAAATGTGTAAAATATTTTGTAAAAAATAAGAAATGCAGGCAATTAAGCTTTTGTCTTCATTTGACTAAAACTATTAAAAAAAGATGTTGATTTCATATTTTCATGTGGTTCCACCTTTTCTAAAATAATTAATGACCATATTATTTTAAAAATGAGCTTTTGCCTTGGCCGGTTTGGCTCAATGGAAAGACCGTCAGCCTGCAGATTCAAGGATCCCAGGTTCAATTCCGGTTAGGGGCATGTACCTTGGTTGCAGGCACATCCCCAGTAGGGGGTGTGCAGGAGGCAGCTAATCGATGTTTATCTCTCTCATCAATGTTTCTGACTCTCTCTCCCTTTCCCTTCCTCTCTGTAAAAAATCAATAAAATATATTTTTTAAAATGAGCTTTCAAAGTTGGATTTTGCTTAATTACAAAATTCTTAATTAACCTTAATCTATTAACCTTAATCTAATGCAGAAGATAATGCAACAACTGCTTTTAAAATAGCTTAAATAAAAATAAATGGGCCTGAGCCAGAGTCAAAACTCCCATCACTCACTGAGCACGGGGTTTTGCCTTTTTGGTGACAGAAAATTGGCCCTGGATTAAATGTTGCTCTGGCCTCAATTCGAGAAACTTAAAACAAGACCCGAAAAGACCATTGTTCCCAAGGAACCTAACCACATCCCAGAACAAAGCTCAGGGGTATTTAGAGGAAACTAAAGACATCCCAATAGCAGTACCCAACAGGTAAAATGTATACTATTTGCATCCAAAAGGAGAAGGCCCCGGCCAGTGTGGCTCAGTTGGATGAACATTGTCCCATGCACCAAAAGGTCGCTGACTTGATTTTCGTTCAGGGCACATGCCCGGGTTGCAGGCTTGATCCCAGTAGGTGTGCAGGAGGCACCAATTGGTGTTTCTCCTTTTCTCTCCTCTCTCTCAAATAAAAAACAACACACATATTTGAAACAAAACAAAAAGTAGGAGGCATGTAAACGAAGGGGGTCAGGCATATCAACTGAAATGAATCCAAAAACATAACAGTTGATAAAAATACGTGGGCCCACCTCATCGATACATTACATGATTTCATTTATTGCCATCTGAATTGCTACTTTTGTGTTTCCCTGATTATGCCTTAAAACAATCCTATTGAGAGAACAAATTAAAAGCACAAATAATTAAATTTCTATCTAGAAATATGTTAATAATTCAAAAAAGTGTCTTCCCACTCTGCTTCTAGAATGATCTCTATAAAACCTCAATCTGATCGTTTCTCCCCATTGCTCAGTGGCTCCATCACCTGCAGGCCACGGCCCAGGTTCCTGAAAGATTCCTCTTCATGCTCTAACAGAGCCCTCTCCCACTCACTGATGCTTACTTCATACACAGCAGCCTGTTCCTGTCCTGCACCAATGCCTGCCGGGAACTCATTCCCTCCTTCCCTCTCTTCACCTGGCAAACTCGGAACAGGGTCATTTCTGCCAGGAAGCCTTTGCCAGCTCTGACATACCGGAGGAAAATAAGCACTCACTAGACTGTGAACTCCTTGAAAATTACCCAGTGCCAGGCATAGAAGAGATGTTATGTAAAGGCTTGAGGAACTAGCAGGAAAAACCTGTCATGGTTTCAGGAGCTTACTGTGTTCTCTGACAATTTCCTTTCCAGATAATTCCACCAAGTGTTTCTCCTGCAGGTAATGACTCTGCAGTACAGACTGAACAGTGCAGGTAGGAATTAGGTGGCAATGTCTGCATGCTTACTTTCCCTGGTATGGTTACAGGAACGAATCATTTAAAGTAAAACAAGAATCCTGTTTTACTTCCTCTGATCCCTAACTTACGAGACAGGGGGAAATGCTTCTTTTTATTTATTTATTTATTTATTTATTTATTTATTCTCCCCCTTCCTTCCTTTACTGCCTTTATTTAAACTTTAAAATTTTTAAAAACTTCACTCCAATTTTCATTTCTTTACATTCAATATTATTTTGTTTTGATTTCAAGTTTTATATTAGTTACAGAATAGCGGTTAGACAATCATATACTTTACAAAGTGTTCCCCAATATTTCCAGTACCCACTTGCATCATACCATCATTATAACACTATTGACTATCTTCCCTATTTAAGTGACAATGGTTCCTTCCTGTCTTTCTTTTGTGTTGCTCGCCTTGCTTTTTCTTTCTCACTTCTTCCTTACTTTCCTTATAATAGTATCTCAACTGGCTATCAAAGCTCAGTGAAGGCAATGGGACATGCTTAACCCATTTCACAGACCAGGACCCCGAGGCCAAATCCAGTTGGCTGTGGAACTTGACTCAGTGCACGGGGAGCCCTCAGAGCTGTGCTCTCTGCCCTTCCTAAGAGGCAGCCGCCAGCGCAAACCCTTCCTGTCAGGCTTCGAGCCTCTTTCTCAAGCACCTTTTCATTGCAGACACTCCATATTCTTTCCTCTCCCTGGTCCCCTGGCCCCCTGGCCCCATTATTTACTGGCCCCCCTTCTCTGGAGCAGGTGGAAGGCTTCACACTCACCACCTAGGCATACTCTGCTGCGGGGCAGGGTGGCGTGAGCTTGCTTTTGGGTCAAGGCAGGAGCAGGAGTCGCTGCCTCTGGGTGAAGGCCGCCTGGGTGAGGCCAGTTGGCACGTGGAGCTTCTCTGAATCGTCAGGCAGTCCGGTACCCTGCAGTGTGGTACCTCTCCAGGGAAATGCTTCTTAAATATAAAAACCACCCACTAGCATGAACTCTTAGTGCCTGGCTTCTTTAGCTCAGCCCCTTGTATGTGAAATTTCATCCTACTGCAGCATCACTATACGTTCTGGAAATTCCAAAAATAATACTTGTTTTCATGGAATCTGGTCTTTTCTATAGACACGGTCATTAAATCTATAATTAGACGTAGCTTAATTTGAATAGCCTCCTCAGAAAGGTATCTTCAGAGGAACAAGGCCATGAGTTGGAAAGAAATCCTTTATATGTTGTGGTCCAAGTTTTTGCTTAGGGAGGAAGAGTCAATGTCCTTTCAGGCTCTGAGTCCTAGGACGGTAAAACTGCACAGTGGTTAGTAACAGGGAGGAACTCTGGGTCTCTCTACTTCATCTGTTCAGTTTCAGTCTCTGACAGACTTCACGGGAAATACTTCGTGTGAATGATACATTAATTAACTCGTTGCTTGCCCTGCTCAAGTGATCAACAGGTAGAGTCCGGGCAACCAACAGTCAGTCCCAGGCGCCTCACCAAACACTTCTCAGCCAGGTACTTACTTTCTCCACCAAGTTCCCTGGAAGAAGATTCTCTACAAACTGCCGCAGGTTCTCCGGGACAACCGCATTATGGAAGAAGGAGATTTTCCCGCTTATGACTCCGATGATGGAGGGTGTGCTCTGTGCCCCCAGGTGGCGGGCCAGGCGCCTCTCGTACCCGGCATGGACCACGCCAATGCCCACACCTGAAAAGCACGGAAGGCCTATGTGAAGCCTTTTTGTCCCTGGCAGTTGAAGAAATGCTCAGTGATCTTTTGGTGTGAAATTATGACCTAGCAGAGGCGGGTATCTGACACTTGTCTACCTCTCTCTATTTCTGCTGCCTTCCTTCAGGCCAGTGGTTGCTGCCTTGCCAGGGCTGGTGGCCTCCTCTCCTCTGCTCTCATGTTCTGTAACCTGTCCTTCACGTAGCTTTAACAGTGAGCTTTTATAGAGTAGGTCTGATTAGGTCACTCCTCTATAAAAACTTTCCTTGGCTTTATGACACATTAAAAAATAAAGTCCAGCTTCCTTAGCCTGGATTGTATAGCTCCTTACTACCTGGCTCCCAAAAGTTCCTGCCCCCCCCGCCCCCTTACCTACACCCCGTCTCGCCCTGCTGCTGCTGGCTCTTCTGAGAATGTTGCTCCTTCTGCCCTAATGTTACTCCCCCGCTTCCTGCCCAACCACCTCCTAATCACCTTTCAAAAGAATAAGTAAAAAGCTGGTGCTTGATGGTCAGTGAGTTGAAGAAAGTAGACCGATACATTTCAGAAAGATTTTTAAAAGAAGCTTATAAAATGGGTGCTTTCAAAAATTTAACTCTGGTAAACTAGAGAACCTAGTTAGTCGGACAATTCCTAAGGTTAATTTAATAAGTGCTTCCTATATATCAGGCACTTAACAAAAAAACTGTCATTTAATATTCAATCTCAGGAAAGCATTTTGGCAAATCTGAGTATCCGCGTGCTTCTGAGCAACAGGCTGAAGTGTCTGTTTTAGAAAAATGAGCCAGTGGTTTCCCAGTGTGGCCTCCCCAGAGACACACCCCTCCGGCCCTGTGGCAGAGTCTGTCCCATTTTAGTTACTCGATAGGTTTACTGATGCCCCCACCCTCCCTCTCTTCCTCTCTCTCTCTCTCTCTCTCTGTCTCTCTCTCTCTCTCTCTCACACACACACACACACACACACACACACACACACACACACACACACACACTTTTAGTTCAGTAATTCTAACTTTACGGCGTTATTAAAATAAATACCCTCCCTGGATCACTAAAGTCTTCCTGGCACTAAGTGGTAACGATAAATAAAGGAAAGACTAACCTGCGATCAAGAATGGTAACGCATGACCATTAATGTTATGGGCTGAACTGTGTGTTCACATGGTCGTCCCCCCTCCCCCCGCCCCTTGTAAGACCCTAACCCCAGCACTTCTGAATGCGATTGTATTTGGAGAGAGGGCCTTTAAAGAGGTACTGAAGTTAACATGGGGCCTTATAAGGTGGGCCCTAATCCAGACACACCAGACCATGCACACATACGGAGACGACCATGTGAACACACAAGGAGAAGGCAACCATCTGCACGCCAAGGAGAGAGACCACAGGAAAAACCAGCCCTGCCGACACCTTGATCCTGGCCTTTCTAATCTCGAGAACTGTGAGAAAGTAACTTTTCGTTGTTTATGTGGCATTTTGTTATGGCAGCCCTAGCGAATTAATATCCAGCATGAAATCACAAATCCCATACGAATAATCTGAAAATCTTACCAGCCTTAAAGGTGATGCTTGAGAACTGCATTGCTCACCAATCATTTTTAAGCCTCTCCTATGTATTAGGCCTCCAGCTAGATGTTAGAAGACTACCGTGTTTCCCCGAAAATAAGACATCCTCCGAAAATAAGACCTACTTACAGGTTTCCTTCTGAGTGAAATATAAGGCATCCCCCGAAAATAAGTCCCCCCCCCCCCCCCAGGCTAAACATGAGATTTGGTCCACTGATTCTGAAAGAAATGGAGTCACAAGAAATTCACCAGAAAATTCAGGAATTGGATTGTTATGATGATGTTCCAGAAGATGATGACATGATTGTCACTGAATAAATGAGTAAATTCTTGATACTGTAGGATTCACAGTTTGTCTGGTTTGTGTTGACAACTACCGTACTACCATACCGTATACAGGTAATAAATTTCCTTTATTTTCATTTAACAATAAATGTGTACCATATTCTTCTTCATGGAAAAATAAGACATCCCCTAAAAATAAGACCTAGCGCATCTTTGGGAGCAAAAATTAATATAAGACACTGTCTTATTTTCGGAGAAACAAGGTATATAAAGCTTCGAATTAATAATGCGAAGTGAAAGTGGCTGATTCATTTCCTCCTGAAAATGTGTCCTTGGAAAATACTAGTCACCATGAACTTGTGAAGAGAAATCATACCGCTCATTCGCCCCAACATCCCATAAAATTCAAGACTTAGAAAATTACGCCCTCCCATTAAACGTCTTCCGGTGAATAAAATGATCTTACCCAATACTTCCAGTTCTTCAACGACTTCTTTCCAAACAGGCTCTATGTGGGCACAGGTAAAGCACCAATCGGAGATGACCTTAATGAGGTAGGGTTTCTTGAAGCTATCGGGGACCACTTTATTCACATAATGTGAAAAGTGCAATAAATGTTTCTCATCAATGGGCTCCTGGTGATCCGAAGAACCAAAGGGGAAGTGCATAAAAGATTCTTCGAAATAAAAGCTTCCTGCGTGCTGGCGGAAGCGATGCTCATGGTGCCGCGGGAAGTCCGTGTTCTCTCCGCCAGATCCAAAGGCGTCATACTCAGATCTCTTTGCTTCTTGGGAAAGAATCTATAAAGAAAGAGAGAAAGAAAGAAAAAAAGAAATCTAGGGAATGAAAAAAAAGTTTACCCAAAGAATGTTCCTGTAAGCAGCTGGAAAGATGTGAGAAGAAAATACATGTAGATATGACGTGATTAGATATTCTCAATCAGTCACGCTCCATCCAGAACATTCTCTCAATAGAAACATTAAGTATTTCAAGACTAAATTACTCCAGTCCCTTCCTCGTGTTCACCTTGGATTTAAAGACTTTTGAACAATCATAAAACTAAGCACCTCGGTAAAACAAATAAAACTTTACATAATGGTGACCACCAGGGATCAACCACAAGAAAATTGACCAGGTCACGTCACCTAAGTTGGAATGATTCAACCCAAAATAGGAAAAGCTGGACACTGCCGAAACTGGTTTGGCTTAGTGGATAAAGCCTCGGTCTGTGGACTGAAAGGTCCAGGGTTCGATTCCGGTCAGGGGCATGTACATTGGTTGCGGGCACATCCCCAGTGGGGGGTGTACAGGAGGCAGCTGGTCGATGTTTCTAACTCTCTATCCCTCTTCCTTCTTCTCTGTAAAAAAATCAATAAAATATATTTTTTTAAAAAGCAAAAAAAAAAAAAAAAAAAAAAAGGCTGGACACCAAAAAGTAACCCCAGACTGAGTTCAGTGTCTTGTGTGTTGACCGACTTTGTTTTACTTAGAAGCGATTTTGACGCCTGGAATTGGAGACCCCGCTTTAGGATGATGTCACTCTAGGAGCGTTACTTCTGTGTGGTGAAGAGCATTACCCTGCCCAGAGCGGGAAGCTTATCTTTTGTGTCTTCCGGACACACTATTTGAGCTGCCATGTTAGAAAACTGTTGAAAATCTTGTGTTTAAATGTATTTGCAACCTTGTGTCACATTAATAACTACGGGCAAGTTGGTCTGTGGTTCTTTAAATTTCCAGCACATGTGCTTCCAAAGGAGTACATAATATAAGTTTCTAAGAGGAAGTAGAGATACACCTTCACGGTAATTCTACAATTCTAATTAAAGCCTTTAAAATAGGCCATTTACTATTAATTTTTATTTTTAAGATATTTTTTTGATTTCAGAGAGGAAGGGAGAGGGAGAGAGATAGAAAATTAATGATGAAGAGGCTCACTGATTGGCTGCCTCCTGCACACCCTATACTGGGGATCGAGCCCGCAACCTGGGCATGTGCCCTGACCAGGAATCAAACTGTGACCTCCTTCCTGGTTCATAGGTTAATGCTCAACCACTGAGTCATACCGCCCAGTTTAGGCCATTTTTATAAAAAGACCTTCAGTGTTCAGGTACTAGTTTTGACACACTGGATGTGGCCAAATACGGTCTCTCTAAAATCACCTAGAAACTGGGTCAAGGGCATAGGGAATATGCCTTGCCTGAGAGGACTTTCTTAAACATTTAGACATGCTTTCTAAGAGCTAACGGATGCACCCCAAAGTGTGACACGATACCTCGTAAGCTTTGCTGATTTCAATGAACCTGTCTTCTGCTTGAGGATGCTTGTTTTTGTCGGGATGCCTGAAACACAAAAGGGCAGGCAGTGAGAATGGACGTCATTTCAATCCGAACAATTAGCATCCGTATCCACAAGGTTCACTACCTCAGAGGCAAGTGGAAGGCTATTTTGCTAGGACAGTTTCTTAGAAATGAACATTAGATTGCCTCACATAACTATTAAAAAAATGCAACTTTAAAGCAGGCAATGTCTTCCAGGAGTATTTCAGCTGGGCACGGTTTAACAGTGCACCAGGAGACAGTCCTGAAAGGTGGAAAAACGTGGGTGCCTTTAACTGCTCCCCAACACTGCTAACGCTGGCTCACAGCTAAAGTCACTTATCCGTAGGAACCAACTTCTTTTTCATGATGGCGGCATTTTATCCCAATGCTAGAACGGTATCAACGATACCAATTTCTTCTCAGTCAGACCTAGAAAATAGCTTTAAGGATGCAACATGAATTTGTTTAGTAGCAACCATGTGTCAAATAGCATCTTGCTGCTATGTTCAAATGAGCTCATTTTAGTTGTCACTATTACTCTGGTTATTCCATTCTACCTATGAATGCCTTTTACCTGCAAATAGATAATGTTTTCAAGGCCACATGTTTTAAGATGTGAGCAAAGTCTACCGTTCAAGAAGCAAAATGCTTTCAACTAATATTGGGACAACTATTTGTTTGCTATTATCCACAGCCAGTTATCCATCTTGTGGTCATATCTTATTATGTAATCTGCTTGTGTTTATACCAATTTCAGCTTTGGGGATTTTAAAGTTCTGGAAAGCAGGGGCCTGGGTTTCATATCCTTAGAATCCCCTAAGATCTAAATCAGTGTTTAATTTTTCAATGTTCATTTTATTGAAACTCTATTACAGACCTCATTCTTTATGTAATCTCTTCTGCTAACTTCCAGTACATTTCCTCTAGTCAAGGTTCTGGAAAAGGAACATCCACTGAGAAGCAAATGACTACTAAAAACAGCACCAAGTATCCTATATAATAAAAGCCCAATATGCTAAGTGTCCAGTCGCCTGGTCATTCGTTCAACCAATCAAAACATAATATGCTAATGATATGCTAAGGATACTCAACCACTACTTATGACGTGCACTGACCACCAGGGGGAGACGCTTCAACCAGTAGGTTAGCTTCTGCTGAGGTCCAGCTGATTGGGACTGAGCGAGATGGGCTGGACATGCCCTGGAGCCTCCCTCCGTCCCTCCCTGGCTGGCCAACCTCCCGAGTCCCTACCCAGCCCTGATCATGCACTGGAGGGGTCCCTTAGCCTGGCCTGTGCCCTCTTGCAATCTAGGACCCGTCAGGGGATGTTGGAGAGCTGGTTTTAACCCAATCCCACAGGCCAGGCTGAGGGATCCCACTGCTGCATGAATTCATGCACAAGACCTCTAGCATCAGAATAAAAACAGCTTACAACTTGATCAACTTATTCTAGCAGAAACATATTTTTAATGAATTATACCACTATATTCTGATTTCACTAAAAATAAAGGAACAAATAGTTGGTTGTTGAATTTGGACATCACTCCCTAACTAATACTTGTTATGAATATTAATGGGGAAAATCTCAGCTGGTATAATGAAAATAATATGAAAAAGGAGACATATGTAATAGTTTAAACAATAAAGGCTTAAAAAAGAAAAAGAAAATTGTATGACTTAAGGAAACAAGATAGTGGTTTTGAAGCATGTTTCTGGATGACAAAAAAAAGTGTTTTAAATATTCAAACTCAGGCTAGAGGCTGGCAAGATAAAAATTATGCGATCACACAAATAAAGATTTAACAGACAAAGCTCTGTAAGGGGGAAGGATAAGAAGGGACTTTTAAAGAGGCTGAACCAAATAGAGTTGTGAGGGCAGCTGGGTTATAAGCACAGAGAAAACTACAGGACAGTTTCAGTTTATCTATATAGAAAAGTTTAAGCGACTGGCCAGTAGCTATGATACGCACTGACCAGGGGAGCAGACGCTCAACACAGGATGGGAAACCATAGGCATGGAAACATGGAACAGACTGATGAATCTCAGAGGGGAGTAGGGAGGGTGGGAAGAGATTAACCAAAGATCTTATATACATACTAGAAGCCTGGTGCATGGATCCAGTGGGGTCCCTCAGCCTGGCCTGCATGGATCAGGCCAAAACTGGCTCTCTGACATCTCCCAGGGACCCCCGATTTCAAGAGGGCACGGGCCAGGCCAAGGGACCCCACCGGTGCATAAATCTATGCACCAGGCCTCTAGTAAGGAATATTTTTCTAATCACAGGGAGACAGCACAAAGTTGACAACAAGTAGGAAAAATACTGTCCAATGCTATTGTCAGTGTATGAACAGGTACTGTCCAATGGTATTGTCAGTGTATGAACAGGGAGACAGCACAAAGTTGACAACAGGTAGGAAAGTACCGTCCAATGCTATTGTCAGTGTATGAAACATTTCACACACTGCAATATATACACATCCTTTAAATTTCAAAGGGAAGGATATACTGTACCTGGCATCTACAGGTGGTCTAGCTACCTCTAAGGGAATAAAAACAAAGGTAGGAAAAGTAATATAGTTTGAACATCAACTATAATTAAAAATTAAAAATACAAAAAATAGTGAAAACATGCATTAGAAGTAATATAGTAAAGTATTGGAGAAATCTATGCACTGTTCAGGTGACTGACCATGCTATAACCATTTGCTTCAAATACAATTTTTTGACATCTTTTCTTTGGAGTGGGAGGAACTGTTGATTTTGCCAATGTAGATGACAAAAGAAAAAGCACCTATGATAAAACTTCTTTATTGGAAGACAAACAGTTTTCCAGAGGGAAAAAAAAGTAATTTTAAATGGTTTCACGAGGAAGGGGCAAACTCTTGACAAGTCTAAGCAACATTATAAAACACAGGAGAGGAAGGCTACAATTCGGCAATTAACCAAGTCCCCCTGATAAAGTCATTTTGAAAAGCCAAACTAAGATGGCTCAGTGGATAGAGCGTCAGCCTGTGGACTGAAAGGTCCTGGGTTCGATTCCGGTCAAGGGCATGTAGCTTGGTTGCAGGCACATCCCCAGTAGGGGGTGTGCAAGAGGCAGCTGATCGATGATTCTCTCTCATCAATGTTTCTAATGCTCTGTACCTCTCTCTTCCTCTCTGTAAAAAAAATCAATATATATATATATATACACACACACACACACACACACATACACACACACACATATATATACTTATATGTGTGTGTGTGTGTGTGTATATATATATATATATATATATATATATATATATATATATATATAAAAGAAAAGCCAAACTCAGGAAACACTACTATTTTTCAGGGCATACAAAGCCATTACAAAAGGCGACAAGGCTATTTCAGCGATAAAACACTGCCACAGCCAAAACTGAGCAGAAAATGATAGTACAGTGAAAATCCAAGGTAGAGTAAAGTTTCAGTATTTCACAAGGTGATACTCTATATTACGGTGATGAATTACTCCTAGAGAGAACCTAATTAAGGAAGAGAATCGTATGACTCATTTAATTAATATAATACCCTTTCCAGCTTTGAAGACAGCAAAGTCAAAACTGTATGTTTTAATAGGTTCTACATACTCAAGCGATCATTTCTGCTTCTAAATGCTGCCAAAGGCCATGCCCCGTCCAAAAGAGTGTGAGTTCCTTATGAGTTCATTTCAGATTTGTAAATTTTGCTTCAAACATAAAGAGGCAAGAGTTTGAAGTGATGTCAAAAGCAGCTATACTGTGAAGAGAGTCCCTGAAAATTCAGAGCCCACGCATAATTAGAGATTGTGCTTCTTAGTAACCAATTCTGGATTCTTCATGATGTGAATAAGGTCTAAAATATCCAATCAAAACACTGTATTTTAAAACTATCTTTTGCCGAGACCGGTTTGGCTCAATGGATGGAGCGTCGGCTTGGGGACTGAAGGGTCCCGGGTTCGGTTCCGGTCAGGGGCATGTGCCTTGGTTGTGGGCATATCCCCAGTAGGGGGTGTGCAAGGGGCAGCTGATTGATGGCTCTCTCTCATCGATGTTTCTAACTCTCTGTCTCTCTCCCTTCCTCTCTGTACAAAATCAATAAAATATATATTAAAACAAAACAAAAAAAACCTATCTTTTGACTGTATTGCAACCAGTTTAAAATGAAGATGCATGTTTCATTGAAGAATGGTGTCAGCAGTCACACACTGCCTGCGATGCCATCTGCATGTTGCAATTTTGCTCCTGCCTGACTTCCTTCCCACCTAAACTCTGACCTATTCACTTTTACTTCTGCCCAGATGGGTAAGTGATAAAAAAAAAAAAAAAAAAAAGCAATAAACTACCTGTTAGTGCAGAAGGTCAAACGATAGAAGCCAGAGGTAATACAGAATTAACCCATAAAACTGGGACAGTAAAACCCTTCCTGAAAGTGTAATTATAAGGTTTAAATGAGATAAACACAGAACTTGGAGCCTAGCATGGAGGTGCTCAGGATGGTTCCCATCATAAACCTTCCTGTTTATGCCTGGTTTACCCAGCTGTAGTCTCCCATGTTCTTTCCCTCCTGCTGTTCCCTTCCAGCTATAAGATCCACCATTTCCACTGAGGCGAGTCCACAGTATTAGTATTAGTGGAAGAAACTGATGCTGTCTGTCCAAAATAAAATTTAAATTTCTTGCTATCCTGCTAATGCACAGACATGTGTATATTCTCCAGCATAGATAATATCTACAGGTTCTGATTTTCCTATAAAACAACAAACTCAGTCCCTGAATATTCATTTAAAAAATCGAAGGCAAAAAGCTCTTATTCTAAAATAGTTTGCAAGCTTAAAAAGTAATAATCCAGAAAATAGGATTGAATGGTATTACCTTTAACAATGACACTCAGGAGGAGTTACTTTATGAATAACATCATGGGAAGGGTAGCTTATCTATTGTCGAGTACATATGTATTTTAAACATTAAAGTTCCCTCCTACTTTAATATTAAATATGCTAATGGTATGTAGGGCAACTAAGGGGGTTTCACAGTAACACAGGCTTTGGGTGACATCACTAAAATTATAGAAAAACATGAACATTAGATCTCCCAAATAAAATATTTTAGACAGATATATATATTTGTCTCTATGTTCAATATTTATTGAACATAGAGACAAATAAAAACTAATTAGAATTGAGGCTTCATTTTCTTGCTAAAACTGCTAAGTTTACATTAAACTATTTCTGTTTTACTTACCATTTCCGGACAAGCTTCTTATAAGCCTTTTTAATATCAGCCTGACTGGCTTTTTGGGTGACCCCCAGGATTTGGTATGGGTCAAAAGCCAACGCAGACGAAATTTGCAGGATCAGAATCAGAACTATCAAGTACTGCCAGGAAATGCTCAGCTTTTTCACTTCCATTTCTCTTCCTTTCCAGAGCTGAAATAACCGAAGAGGCAACAAGTTTCAATGGTAGAAACCTGGATAGTCTTCCTTTTTAGGCAAAGCTATAAAATACACAGATGAAAAACAAAACAAAGAAAAGATATTTTGGCCCTAACTGGTTTGGCTCAGTGAATAGAGTGTCAACCTGTGGACTCAAGGGTCCCTGGTTTGATCACAGTCAAGGGCATGTATCTTGGTTGCAGGCACATACCCGGTGGGGAGTGTGCTGGAGGCAGCTGATGGATGTTTCTCTCTCATAGATGTTTCTAGCTCTCTATCTCTCTCCCTTCCTCTCTGTAAAGAATCAACAAAATATATTAAAAAAAAAAAAAAAGATATTTTGCAGGAAAAGTGGCATGCTGTTTGACTATATTTTAAAAAAGTCAACAACCTCACTACTATTTACATCACAAATAAGAACTATTATAGAATGACTATAGATGAAAAGATGAGCAATAAGAGTAGCCACTCTTCAGAATCCTTGGATTAAAAAGCTCTAGAAGTGACTAAAAATGAGTAAAATTAATTAATAAGCAAATGTGGGAAGACATATATGAAAATCAAGGTGACTACATCTCAAATACACTGTTTCACTTATTCTGACAATAACAAAGTAAACTTAAAAATATGAGGCTTAAGCATACCCCTCTTAGTTTATGCTAAATAAATTCATGAAATCATCAGATATGCACAATCACAGAATGAGATAGTTGTAGCATCTTTGGGAGTTAAATAAGTTCAAATACAAAAGTGAGATGCTCTTAAAAAATGGTATAATTATGATTTAATATGTTCCAGTTCTGTTCTTTCTCACCAAGCCCATTAGAACAAAAAAAAATGAAGCTGCTCTTTAATTTGATCATTAGCCATAAGTGGAAACCTCAGGAAACAGTTCAATTTTTTCACTTCTGCTTGAGAGAAAAATTAGTTTTCCATGTGAAGGGGAATTAATAACAAAGACTGTAGACCAGACATGGTTCTCCAATATTAAAGCTCCATCTCTGGTGAGTGCAGTGCCTGAACTCATCGTGGGAATGATCCGGCTGGTTAATGAACACAGTAGTGCTGTGTTGCACAGACACTTAAACTCCAGGATCGTGATCTTGGTGATATCCATCCTACAAAGCTTTTCCGAGGGCCAAATCTACCTTGACTTCTCATACATAAATTCAGTTTTAAGGTTCAAGTGTCTTCGTGTGGCACCCCTCTTGAGCAAAATCTCTAACCGCGGTGGATTCTGACAGGTAGAAGTCTAACTGCTGTTTGAGAGGCCTCACAACACTGACAAGCCGATGGCCACCGTTTAGGACTGCCTGCATGCTGAATACAATAGGAAAACCAGTGTCTTCCTCGTTCAGGCAACCTAAAACCCACTCTGCCCTCCAAGACACGCGCAGCCCGCTACCAATCCGTATGTGGGGGGAGGGAGCTACTAGTTCAGCACCTGGGCTCTAGGATCAGCCTAAGGCTGGGATCCATCCTCCACCACGTTATGACCTTGGGCAAGCAACTTAAATTTGTGAGGCCTCAGTGCCCTCATGCAAAAAATGGGGGCGGAGAACCCAGTCTTGAAAGGATCAACCTGGGAGCTAACTATATGGAAGCATTCACTGGGCACAGGGTCAAGTCAATCAGTGGCACTTGTTATCCTTCTTTTCCTATCGTGCTGTGCAATCATGCCTCATTCAACCGTGCCAGCCGCCTCCAGTGAGAGGGCCGGGGTGGCAGGGCCGTGAGGGTCTTCTGCAGGCGGCTGGGCCGGGGCCGGCCTCAGGGCAGGAAACCACCAGCCCAACAGGTAGGCAGGCAACCGCCCTCGGGCCGCATCCCCTACACCAGGCAGCCGCTCCGCAGACACGCTCGGAGGCTGAGCCCCGCCTCGGGCGGGCTCCCCCGGAGGTCGCAACCCTCCTCCTGGAGGAGACGGCCGCCTCCTCCGCTGCCCGCCGAGAGCCGTAAGCTGGGCCCTGTCGGCTCCCGATGACCCCCCAGGCCCAGCAGGGACCCGGGACGCAGAGGAACCGAAGGGAAATCCCCGAGCCTGCCCGGCCCCCGCCGCGTCACGCCGGGAAGGAGTTACCGGGAAAGGGCACAGCTGGTCCTCTGGCCGGGAGGCTCTGGTCCACAGCAGCGCTCGCCAGGGCCCGGGGAGGGGGGGGGGGGGGAGAAGGGAGAGGGACCAGCCTGAAGGGAGCCACGTGGTCCTTAAAGGCCCAGCGCCTCGAAGCCGCGGACTGAATGTGTGGAAGGCTTCTTCCGCGCAGGTGTAATTTGACCCTCGCCGCACGCCGTCCGCGCGTGGACTAGCGCGGTAACCATGGGGACGAGGAGCGCTCTTCGGTTGGATCCAAAGGGATGGTCGTAACCAAAGAGGTCGGAACGTGCCTGCTAGCTAGTCTCAGTCGCGGTGCAAGATGGGATGCCAAGGAGACCTCCCCGATCCAGGGAAGAGTTTCCAGTGCTACCAGGAGAGATGGCCTGCTCTAGCAACAGTTGCTAGGGTGGGGAAGCAATCGCTGGTCCCGCTTCTCTTTAAGCCTATTCATAGAATCCTAGAGCGTCAGAGTAGGAAGGACCTTGGGGATTCTCTCTAGTCCAACTCCTCCATATGCTGATGGGAAGACTGAGGTCCAGAGAGGGGCAGGGACCTTCCCAAGGCCTGGAACCCAGGACTCTTAAACCCATTTATGCCAAAGCCAGTTCCACCTTAGTGCCAGCCCCTGCCCTTAGCACGGGAAAGGGATGCATGGTGGTGTTGGGGAGAGAGAGAGGCACAGGTGAAGAGGGTAAACTTTCATTGAGCCAATGAGATAGGTTCTTTAGAAATATAAAGAGATTTCATATCCCCTCTGCACTGTTTTTTTTAAAAAAAATATTTTTTTATTGATTTCAGAGAAGGGAAGATAGATAGAAACATCAATGATAAGAATCATCAATTAATTGGCTGCCTCCTGCATGCCCTCTACTGGAGATTGAGCCTGAATCCCAGGCATGTACCCTTGACCAGAATCGAACCTGGGACTCTTCAGTCCACAGCCTGACACTCTATCCACTGAGCCAAACCAGCTAGGATCCCCCTTTCACTGTTTTTATTTATTTTATGTCCCTTGCATTTATCACCATCTAACATACTACATCTTTTATTTTATGACTGGGGTCCCAGTGCACGAATTCATGCACCTTGAAAAGAACTGTGGGCCAAGAGGCTGCAGGGAGCACAGGGGCGGGCCTCAGTTCATCCCCCCCGCACCTCTGTCTGGCCACTTCCGCTATAGCTGCCCCCCCCCTCCCCCCGTCTGCTGGTAGCCCTGCTCCTGCCGCTGCTCCCACGCACTGATGGCATGGAGTGATTTCAAACGGGGCTGGCACTGGCAGCAGGTGCGAGCACAGGGTGGACCGTGGCATTCAAGGGAGCAAAGAATTTTCAGTAACCACCCAAGGCTTGCCCTCATGACAGCAACTAGCTCCCTGCCTTTGTCTGGTGCCACCGCTCACCTGCTCCACCATTTCCCTCCCACCCCTTCACCATGGCCAATGCCTGCCATGCTCCTTGTGCGCCCCTTGGTGGTCAGTGCACATCATAGTGACCAGTTGTTCTGCCATTTGGTCTATTTGCATATTAGCCTTTTATTATAGAGGATTTGTTTTATCCCACTAGAATATAAGCTCCTAATGTCAGGGCTTTTGTTTGTATGTGTGTGTATGTTTTTCTTGGAGATTGCATAGACCTTGGCACAGACAGGATTGCAATATATATTTGAGGAATAAGTGAATGAATGGGGCTGAGGTTTTGCTGCTCAAGAGTATACATTATAAGAGTGTGGACTTGGAGTCAGGTTCCAGTGCAGATCTTTCCCGCCTCTGCCACTCACTGCCTCTGCGATTGTGACCGGTGGCTTCACTTTCTCGAGCGCCAGCGTCCTCACACGTGGAGTGGGGGCAAGTACTTCCCTGGTGGTACTGTAGTCAGGCATTGATGAGGCAAAGTGGCTGGGACTCAATAAACTGAGCAATTGATTTTCAAATGTTGGAAATGAGCGGTGCAAACTGGGACTTCAAGAGAGTAGATTTCGATCGGTGTTCTTCCTTTGTGGGAGGGAGGAAGATGGGAAGGGAAGGGAAGGAGTAGGAGACCGTGTAAGGTGGGCTTGATTGGAGGAGACGCGAGTTGGGAACTGTGAACGAAGAGAAACAGGCAGAGGGACCGGCAGATTTATGGTTTTAAGTGGGGGGGCAGAGGAGGGGCCTCTAGGGACAGACGTAGCTCCTGGCACAGCAGTGACCAGCAATGAGCGCCTCCCCGCCTCTGGAAAAGCCAGCGGTGTGAATGCAGGCCCGGGGCCAGCCGCAGCGTTGCGCGTGCGTGCTGGGGCCGGGGATGTATCCCGGGGCGGGGCGGGGCCGGAGGCGGAGCCTGAAGGAGGCCGGGCCTGGGGGCGGGCCCTGGGGACGGGCCTTGAGGAGTGGGCGGGGCCTTGGGCGGGCCCTGGGGAGGGGCGGGCCCTCGGGGCGGGCCCTGGGAAGGGGGCGGGGCGCGGCGGCGAGGCCGGAAGCTGACGGCGGCGGCGGGGGTCCTGGCTGTCTGCTCGCCATGGACGACGCTGACCGGCAGGTGCTGCGGCGGTGCCGGGTGCAGCTGGTCAGCGAGCTGCAGGTGGCCAACCTCTGGGACGCTCTGCTGACCTGCGAGCTCTTCCAGCCCGACATGATCGAGGACATCCAGGTGCGCCCCGTCTCTCCCCTCACCCCCCTCCCACCCGTACCCCCCACTTCCTGGGCCGCGCGCGGACTTCAGTCACTGACGGGGACGGCGAGGCCGCGCCGAGAGGGTTGCTGGAGCCACAGCGTAACTCAATGCCCGCGATCCCCCCTCTGTGCCCACCAGTACCCCACCCCCTTTAGGAAACCGTTGTGGGAACCTCGTTTTTCTCCACGGCAGCGAGTCCCCGGCATTGCCCAGTCCAACTGCACAGTCCCAGACATGGCTCTGCACATCAGCGGCAGTGCGGTGCTTTTGCCAGCAGGAGGCATGCTTGTTCCCCTCCTGCAGCATGGAGGTCCACAGCATCCACCCGGGGCACAGATGGCTTGGCACCCTGCCCTTGGGCAAGGCACCCTCTCTGCGCCAGTTTCCTGGGCTGTGAAATGGGGACAACATCAGTGCTGCCCTGAGGGCTAAAGGAGATAACGGGTGTGAACAGCAGAGTGTCAGCCACAGAAGAGGGGCACCTGTTGTAGTTGGCTGTGCCCTGTCCTCCATGGCCAGCCCCTCGTGTGTGAAGTTTATGTTTTGAGAGGGGTTTTGGAGATGAATGGCCTTATGCAGGTAATGGAGGGAATAATAAGGACAGATATGGGAGATTCTCTTTAAAAGCCCTTTCTTAAATAAATACATACATACATAAATAAAAATAAATAAAAGCACTTTCTTAGCTGCCATATTGGACAGCGCAGATAAAGGACATTTCCATGGTCTCAAAAGGTTCCCTTGGACCAGTGGTCGGCAAACTGCGGCTCTCGAGCCCCATGCGGCTCTTTGGCCCCTTGAGTGTGGCTCTTCCACAAAATACCACGGCCTGGGCGAGTCTATTTTGAAGAAGTGGCATTAGAAGAAGTTTAAGTTTAAAAAATTTGGTTTTCAAAAGAAATTTCAATCGTTATACTGTTGATATTTGCTCTGTTGACTAATGAGTTTGCCGACCACTGTCTTGGACAGTGCTGCTGAAGGAACTTGAGGATAGGGCGGTGTCTTATTCCAGTGGATCCTGGGAACTTGCCCAATGGTGGTCTCAGGACAACTAGCAGATAGCCAGTATCTTCTTGCTCCCACCCCACTCCCTGTCTCAGTGACCTCTCTCTCCATCCCACACTTGTCAGCCATTTTCCCATCTTCACCGTCCACCCAATCAATGGCCAGATCCTGTCTCTTCTCCTTCCTTATTTCTGTGTTCTGTCCTCTCACTTCTCTCTTTCAGCTGCACCAACTTTGCCACCAGCCGACCTGGCTGTGGCTCCCTCCCTCCGTGGTCCTCCCTGCCTCCAGGGTGACTTTTCCAAAAGGCAGATCTGATGCTGTCACTCCCTTCTGGAAACTCTTCAGTGGCTTCTCACAGCTTCTGTGGCATGACCACACAAATGCCTCATCCCTCACTGCTGTTTCCCATCCCGAATTAATTTTCTATTTCATACTTCCTTTATTTTATTTTTTTAAGGCAACACATATTTATTTTCTTACCTTTCTGGCGGTCAGGGATCCAAAGTGAGTCCTAAGTGGTTAAAATAAAGGTGTCAGCTGGGCTACTTTTTTCTGGAGGCACAGGGGAGAATCCATTCCTTTGAAGGCTGCCAGCATTCCTTGGCTTGTGGTCACATTACTCCAGCCTCTGCTTCCATCATTACATCTTGCTATTCACATCCTAATATTCTCTAGGGCAGTGGTCGCCAACCAGTGGTCCGGGGTGGTCCATGAGGTCCAAAAGGTTAGCACAGAGGGGGGACGTCTTCCTGACCATTGAGGACTGAGTTGGATGCTCTGTACTCTCCCAGTCCCTTGTGCTTTCCTGGGGGCACATCTCTCTTTGCTGTGTCATTATTGATTTATCTGTGTGCAGTCCCCACTCGATGTTTGCTCCTTGAGGACTGAGATGATTCCCTGCTGTATTTTCAGCACTTAGCACAGCACCAGGCACATAGTAGATGCCTCCAAAATACTGAATGAATAGATAAGGAAGCTCCGTTTTTTGCCCGTAGAACTGTTTACAGATTTATGCTATCTGGGAAACAGGGGGCCAAGATGAGAGTCACAGAAAAGTGTGAGAGTAATAAATAGTGCCATGTGTTTCTTTCCAAACAGAGGGCAGGCTCTGGGTCTCGGCGTGATCAGGCCAGGCAGCTGGTCACAGATCTGGAGACTCGAGGGAGTCGGGCCCTTCCTCTGTTCATCTCCTGCTTAGAGGACACAGGCCAGCATAGCCTGGCTTCATTGCTGAGAACGAGTAGCCAAGCAGCAAGGCGGGACCCGGAATCCATCAGACACCTGGACCTCAAGCCTGTGGCGGTCAGACCAGAGGAGCTAAGAGCAGTGAAGCAGGATCCGTCGGAGCCGGCCCCAGGTAGACTCCCTCCAGCGGTGTTGGGGCCCGAGGAGCTCTATCCACAGGTTCGCAGACCAGGTGTGCCCAGGCCAGTGGACATTAGTGCTGGAGGATTCAGTGATATCCATGAGTACTGAGAGAGGTGGGCGTGACCATTGGTGCGGCCAGGCAGGCTGAAATTCAGAATTTAATTTTGGTTTTGCCTTTCTGAATACTCATAGGGGATGGGTGGGATATTCTGGTAAGCTTACAGAAGGTTTAATTTTGGGAGCCTCTCCCCTGAAAAGCATGTATTCTTTTCTGAATGGGTATTTTCAAATGACTCGTCTTCTGCTTCACAGATTCTTTCTTCTATCTGATCAAGTCTGAGACTGATGTTCTCTGTTGCATTTACTTTATTTTATTCATTGTATTCTTCAGCTCCAGAGTCCCTTCCCTTTCCCCTGTTAGACCCTGGCATTCACGTTTTCCCTCTTTGTGTCTCTCTCCAGGTGCTCATGAGAGACAGAGGGGAAACCCTGACTTGGTAAGCATTCATGTGATTTTGGGCCAGTTGTGTTGGCTTTGGGCCCTCTTGCTCCTTACTCCCCAGGCCCTTCCCTGCAGCTGTGTCGGGAGCTCAGGGAACCCGGCCCAGCTGGAGAGAGGGTCTCGGTCCCAGGCCCCTACAGCTTCCTGACTCTGGCTCAGCTCTTTCTGGAGCAGGTTGGCCCACCCTGCCCTTTCCTCATCTGTGAAGCCAGGGGGTCAGAATCGGTTGTGGCACCCACCCCAGACCCAGTCACTCACTCGTTCATTCACAGCATTTATTGTGTGACTGCTGGATGCCAGCTCTGGCCTCTGTGCTGGGATACCTTATATGTTTCTAGGACGAAATATATAAGCATAAAGAGTCTTACGTACCATAAACACAGTGAACAGGCTGATGGGAGAGAGGATTACAGGGGAAATGCTGAGCCTGAAGAGGAAGTGGTGTGAATGCTTCGAGGTGCATGCTCAGAGTCACCCACCTGTTTCTGAGTGCTCCCCTGCACTGGGCAGTCTGTAAGGTCCTTTGGAGGTGTGTGTCTGTGGTGTTGGATTTCTAAGCTAGCAGCTCCCGCCCCTGAGCACGGTAGTGGGAACTGATCTCCCCCACTTTGAGCTATTTGAACATCGCACCCACTGCTCCCCTCAGTCTTCTTTGCAGTCTGTTTGCTGAGCCCTGCGATGCTGGGCGTAGACCCCGCTGTTCCTTCAGAGGCAGGGCAGACCCCTTTCCTGTCTCACTGCTCCCGATTGCCCCACCACCCCATTGAAAGCCGCTTTCCCTCCTTCCTGCCTGCTGAGTGCAGGGAGACCCCGGTTTACGTGGGTCCCTGTGCTTGGCAGGCGTACATCCTGAATGCAGACCCCTGTGGCTACTGCCTCATTATCAACAACGTGAACTTCTGCCGTAAGTCAGGGCTCAGCACCCGCACCGGCTCCCACGTGGACTGCGAGAAGCTGCAGAGACGCTTCCGCCTGCTGCACTTCGCGGTGGAGGTGGAGAGCGACCTGACTGCGCAGGTACGTTTGGCCCCTGTCCTTGCGGAGAAGCGGGCGAGGCGGGGCGGACTCCCTGTGAGGGACCCTGAATGCAGGGGACTCCCCAAGTTCTCTGTAGGACCAAGAGGGGCAGTGTTGCCCAGTGGTTTCTAGTTTAAGCTGCAGAGAGCCCTGGGTGGAGGACTGGCCCTCCCGGTGCCTGCGGGTGACTCTCAAGCCTCAGTTTCATAGTCTAGACCAGTGGTCGGCAACCTCATTAGTCAACAGAGAGGCAAACTGTGGCTCTCGAGCCGCATGAGGGCTCGCAAGCTGCCGTTTGCTGACCACTGGTCTAGACAGCAGGAACAGGATTCACCTCCTGGGGTCGCTGTGAGGATTAAGTGAACAGTACCCAGCACAGCACCTTTGCCTCAAGAATGGTGGCTGCTGTGACTGCTACGAGTGTCATTATTCCCATGTTGGCCCTGGGAGCAGGGAAGATGCTCTGCCCAGGAGCCCAGGATGGGGACCCGATCCGCCGGTGTCTGGCTCACCTGCGCCCTTCTCTCTGCAGCGAATGCTCCAGGCTCTGGAGGAGCTGGCGTGGCGGGACCACGGGGCCCTGGACTGCTGCGTGGTGGTCATCCTCTCTCACGGCCGCCAGGTAGGGGCCTCGGCTTCCTGGGCTGGCGTCGGAGTCCGCCCCGGCTTCTTGGTTTTGTGACCGGGGTCCTTGGTCTTCTAGGCCAGCCACCTCCAGTTCCCGGGGGCTGTTTATGGCACAGACGGGTCTGCGGTGTCCGTGGAGAAAATCGTGAACCTCTTCAACGGCACTCACTGCCCCAGCCTGGGAGGGAAGCCCAAGCTGTTCTTCATCCAGGCCTGCGGGGGAGGTAAGCAGGCCCTCAGCCTCCCCGAGGAAGGAGCTGGTGGGGAAGGAGCCGCCGCCTGCCTCCTGCTCTCTCCAGCCCTCACGATAGCCAGGGGATCTCTGCAGGCGGGCAGAGGGCCCCAGACATGGTCACTGTTGTTCCAGTGGCAGCACCTGTGTCTGGCTAGAGTTGGTGTCAGCTTTGTCCAGTCTTTCGAGGTCTCAGCGCAGAGGTTCCTGCAGCTCTGGCACCTTCAACGCCGGAGACTTGACAAAAATAAACAAAGTGGAGGAGAAAGAAAAACTCCTTCAGCCCTGGCCGGTGTGGCTCAGTGGGTTGGAGTGCCATCCTGTACTCTGGAAGGTTGCGGGTTTTATTTTTAAAATACATTTTTATTGATTTTACAGAGGAAGGGAGAGAGATAGAAAAATAGAAACATACAACGATGAAAGAGAATCATTGATCGGCTGCCTCCTGCATGCCCCCTACTGGGGATCGAGCCCACAACTCAGACATGTGCTGGAATCAAACCGGGAACCCTTCAGTCCACAGGCCGACGCTCTATCCACTGAGCCAAACTGGTTAGAGCAAGGTTGCGGGTTTGATTCCCAGTCTGGGCATGTACCTAGGTTTCTGATTCAGTCCCTGTTGGGGCATGCATGGGAGGCAACCGATGGATGTTTCTCACATTGATGTTTCTCTCTCTGACTATTCTCCTTTTCCTAAACATGCCCTTGAGTGAGGATTAAAAACAAAAGAAAAAGAAAAAACTCCTTCATTTTCCTTGTTGTCATTGTTCTGAGCTCCTTCAACCAGATCTCCTTTCTCCTGCCCCCGAGAAAGGGAGGCCAGCTTTCTGGGAAAGTTATCCCTTTTTCCATCTCTGTGCCCGCCCCCCAGCTCTGTGCCCACCTCCCAGCTTTGTGCTGCCCCAACACCCATTCTCAGTAGCACGGAGGATCTTTGGTCTCCTTAGTGGGGCCCACAAGGCCCTTGGTGATCTGGCCCCGGCCACTTTGCCTCCCCCAGCCTGGCATGCTGTGCCTGTCCAGCGCCGCTCAACCTTCCTGGGATGCCACAGGCTCTGGCCTGCTCCTCTGCTTTCCCTTGTGCCATCCTCTGCCTTGTTTCCTGGCAAACTCTTGACCATCCATCCTTCTATTGAAAACTCACTGTCACCGCCTCCAGGAAGTCTTTCCTAAACACCTGCTTCCTCCAACCTCAGGGTTAGCTGGCTCTTGTGCTCCCGCTGCTCCTGTCCTTCCCTGTCACAGCACCTTCTTGAGGAGTTGAGACAGCTTCATGCCCTGGTCAGCTCTCCCCAGTCAGGGGCTGGCCTGTCTGCCCTGCAGCTGGGTCCTCGCCTGGCACAAAGCTCACAGTTTGGTTGCATCGCATGTAGCTTCTAATTATTTGAACTTGAAATAGAATAGAAATATCTGCGAGTGAAATCTGAAATAATGTAGACGCCCGCCATGAATAAACAAACCCAAACAACTCGCTGGGAAGAGCAAGGTTCCCGTGCTGGAATCCAGCTGCCTTTGGAGTCCTGTGGCCACATGGGGGCGCCTGTCAGCTGAGCATGGAAACAGACTTGTCTCCCATTTCTCTGTGTCTGGCTCCGTGTCCTGTTGACATGCAGCAGGAAGTCTGCCCTGGATTCTGGTTGCTATTTGAAAGTTCGCTGTTGTTGCAATGTAAAACCATTTAAAAATTCTCTAACACTCTTCACGGAGGGGCAGTGCGGCGGGCACCAGGGCGGAAACCGTGTCCAAGTGGGTAACTGGTGTGGAGGGTTGGTAAGTAGCACGGTGCCGGTGACTGACACACGTGGCGATGCCCGTGGCGGACGGAGGCGCAGCATGCTGCAGTGCTTGTGGAGGGATGAGAAAGTTCTGGAATCAGAGGGTGGTGATGCGAATATACTGGGAAAGTTTTGTTCAGCCCCCAGCTCCTCTCACCACCGAACGTCCTTGCTTTAGGGGGGAGGGGTTAGTCCTGCCTCCCGGGAGTTCTGAGTTTGAAATAGAACCACATACAAGTACCCGTGAGTGAGATTTGATCGAGCCTCCTTCAGAACAAAGCTGTGCACACAGCGCATAACCCGGAGGCTGGGCTTTCGCATCTGATGTGTAGAATGAGGATGACACGTGAATACACACGGCCAGCATCCCCTGTTCGACCCATGCGTTTCCCCCCAGAGCCCCCTCTCGGATCCTATTGTCACAGGCAGTCCCTCTGCCCACCTCTGTCTCCTTAGGCCGTTCTTAGTCATCCCCCACTGTCCACTGAAGTGCCCGCCCCCCCGGCTGCCCAGACGGCCCCAGCCACAGTCCCGCGTTCACGTCTCAGGTCCCCTCCCCTGGTCCACTGAGGTCAGTCCCAGATTCTAGAAACTCAACCAAGAAAATACCAGACGTAGCGACCTGAGTAAGCTGCAGTCCAGCTTCCCCAACCCCCTCAAACCCCCTTGGCAGGCGGGGCGGGGGGTGCACCCTGGAGGAAGCAGGGGGGCTGAGGGGCAGGAGGATAGAAGGAAGAATCCTGGCCCTGGCCCACGAGCTGTGAGAAGGCAAATTACCAGGTTTCTGAGCTTTACCGTGTGGGGTGAGGGGTCAGCAGACATTGGAGTTGTTGCTATGGGGTTGCCAGCACTATCTCTGTCTCTCCTTTGTTCCTGCAGACGGGACCCCAGCTTCCTGGGTGGGCTGTGGCCTCCCTCCCACCTTGCTATTTCCCATCAGAGGTCGAGCCACCCAAATCGCCTGCCGTTTTCTCCACCAAGACTGTCCTCCCGTCTCCCATTGGAGGCTGGGGCCCAGTCCCCCGCCCCAGACACCCTGCCCTCAGGGACCCTCTGGCCACTCTGCCTCCGTCTCCCTTTCCCAAAGCCCTTTCAGCTGCCTTCTCTCTGTGACCAGCTTGTTTTCCCTTGCAGGATGTCCCCAAGGCCCGTCCAAGCTGTAACATGTATCACAAGTTCCTTCCCATGGTTAAGGCTGAAATAACGTGACTTGTTTTCTGAATGACATACAATTTGCTGTTTTAGCCCTTTTAAAGTACACAATCCAGTGGCATGGAGTCCATTCGCATCACCACCCTCTGATTCCAGAACTTTCTCATCACCCCAAAAGGAAGCCCCGTACCCATCCCCGCCTCCTCCCAGCCCCTGGCGACAGCGAACCTGCGTCCCTCTCCATGGATTTGCCTGCGCGACGTGGAGTCGTATCCCGAGGCCTCTAGTTGCCTGGCTTCTTTCACTCGGCCTGCTCCCAGGCCCCCCCACTTGTGCTGTTTATCAGCACGCTGCTCCTTTCTGAGCCGAGCACGGTTCCGTCCGCCGCCTCTGCCCATTTCATCTCATCATCTGTGGATGGACACGTGCCTGTGTCCGTCTTTGCCTGTTGTGACCCTTTGGTGCACATTTTCCTTCGGACACCTGTTTCGAATTCTTTTGGGTGCCTACCTTGTATCTTTTTACAGCTGTTATATATATATATATATATATATATATATTATTGATTTTGTACAGAGAGGAAGAGAGAGGGATAGAGAGTTAGAAACATCAATGAGAGAGTCATCGATCAGCTGCCTCTTGCATACCCCCCACTGGGGATGTGCCCGCAACCAAGGTACATGCCCTTGACTGGAATTGAACCTGGGTCCCTTCAGTCCCCAAGCCGACGCTCTATCCATTGAGCCAAACTGGTCTCGGCTTTTTTACAGCTGTTTTTAAAGTTCTACATCTTTCCACCCTCTGCCCCCAGATTTTTACTTACTTAATGTGTAAAAGCCTTGTCGTAGACAAAAGTAAAGCTTCTGTTTTGGTTTCCGATGGATCGGGCCATAGGCTGGGACAGGCGACGTGGACCCCGCGCTGTGATCTGTGTGTCTCAGTGATGAATGCTGTCTGGTTTCCCTCCCTGCAGAGAAGAAAGACCAAGGGTTTGAAGTGGTCTCCATTTCCCCCGAGGACAGGGCCCCTGGCGGGAACCCCGAGCCAGACGCCCTCCCGTTCCAGGACCCCCCCGGCAGCTACGACCAGCCGGACGCCGTGTCCAGTTTGCCCACACCGAGCGACATCTTTGTGTCTTACTCCACCTTCCCAGGTGAGTGCCTCTGCCCAGGGTCCCCCCATCTGTCCCAGAAGCAGCTGTGGAAGCAAACGCCTGGGCCCGAGTCTCGGTTCCCCTCTGTCCACCTGTGTGGCCCTGGGCAAGTGACTTCACCTCTCTGAGCCTCTGGTCCAGGCAGGCGAGGATACAAAATTTATGGAGGAATGCGCCCTGGGGCTTGTGTCCCTCACCACACCCTGGCCTTGCCTCAGTTTTCCCATCTTTAAAGTGGGACTGATGATCCTGCTTGTCACGGGGATTCTCGAGGCAACTGGCACATCGCTGAGCGCAGTTCCTGGCACGTGGCAGGGGGGTAGGAGTTCATGTCCTTCCTTTCTGGTCCCTCGGAGGAGTCACTTGCCTTCTCTGAGCCTTGGTGTCCTTGTTGGAAAGCTGGAATCAGAGCCAGCATCAGGAGGTGGTGGTGAGGATGGAATAAGATGGCAGTGGGGCAGGGCGCAGAGCGGTGGGCCGCTCCTGTTGGATACGTGATTGGTAAGGTGACCAGACGTCCCGCTTTTGGTGGGACAGTCCTGATTTTTAACAATTTGTCCCCAGTCCTGCCAAAAGCAGGACGTTGGTCACCTTAGTGAATGGGTCAGAGTCGGGGGGGAAGGTGGGAGGTGACTCCGCCTGCATGCCTGGGGCGGGGCGGCTCCAGCAACGCCCGGCCTTTCTCCTCCCCAAGGCTTTGTCTCCTGGAGGGACACCAAGAGCGGCTCCTGGTACATCGAGACCCTGGATGGCGTCTTGGAGCAGTGGGCTCACTCGGACGACCTGCAGAGCCTCCTGCTCCGGGTGAGCCCCGCTTCTGGGAAGCAGAGGGAGGCTGCTGGGAGGGCGGGTGGTGGGGACCACGTAGAATGAAGGCGAAAGATGCGAAACCCCACCCGCTGCCACACCTTGGCCTGCCACGCGACAGTGCTTTCACTTCTCTAACGCGAGATGTCACCGCCTGCGGTGACACTGGCCCCTTAGGTAAGGGGACCAGACGCCCCGCTTTTGGCGGGACAGTCCCGATTTTTAACAGCTTGTCCTGTGGCGTTTTCAAAAAGTCGCAGGACGCGGGACAGATTGTTAAAAATTGGGATTGTCCCGCCAACAGCGGGACGTCTGGCTCCCTTACCCTTAGGCCAAGGGCCACATCCTCCTCAGCTTCTTGGAGGTCCCCAGGCTGACACCTTCCGCTCCCCTCTCCCCTGACAGAGCCGGTCCTCAGCACCGGGGCTGGCTGGCTCAGTGGACAGAGCATGGCATCCCGAAGGCAGGTCGCAGGGCCGTCCCTGCACCCTTTGCCCCACCGCAGGGTCCTAGGCTCTTGAGCCTCCAGAGTCATGACTCCTCTTTAGAATGAGGCTCCAGCGAGAGGGCAGGGAGGGTGTCCCGAGAGGCCCAGGCTCGCTGAGGGAGGTCCCATCAGAGCAGTGGCTCCCTCCGAGGGCCCCAGAGCACGTGGCCCGCTCTTGCTCCGGTGCCTGTGCCGGGAGGGGGGTGCCTGGGCAGGGACCTCCTGTCTTCTGCGCAGCCTCTGGCTCCGCTTTGCTGGGCAGCGTGGAGAAGAAATGCCAGGTGCGGGGTCCCACGTGCCACCGGCAGGTGAACTTGGCTAAGTTTTGAATTTGGAAATTTCAAATTCTGAGTTTTTTTGAATTTGTGGTTGAGATGCTTGTTCTTGAACCACCCCCGGCCGCCCGAGGGAGGCTGCGGCCGGCCGAGCCCGTTTCAAAGTGCTTCCTTCGGAGACATTCCCCGCCCCCTGGCACTCCAGAACTCACACAGGTCGCTAACGCCGTACTGTGTTTTCACAGGTCGCTAACGCCGTGTCGGAGAAAGGGACTTACAAGCAGATCCCTGGGTGTTTTAATTTCCTCCGGAAAAAACTCTTCTTTAAAACTTCATGACGACAGGCCGCCGACCCTGCCTCACCTTTCACCCCCTCGCCTTCCTGCTCCCGCCCGGTGTCTGCAGCGGCCTGGGCTTGCCTTCGACTCCGACTCCGGCTGCCCCTGTGGAGGGATTTTGTAGTAGGGTGTCTGCTCTTTCTCAGCTGGTGGCAGACAGGCTCTTAGCAGCTTCCAAGTTGGAGATAAGCAACTGACCTACCCACGATGGAGGGAGGGAGCAGAAGAATGCCATGGACAGCCTGTGACTTCCCCCACCCCCACCCCCGGGGCTGGCTGGCTGCCTGGCTAGCAACCAGGCCTGATCCTTGTATCTCCTCTAGAGCAGGGCTCTCAGCCTCAGCACCTCTGGCATTTGGGGCCAGACACTCCTCTGCTGGGGGTGGGGTGATGTCCTGTGCATTGTAGGATGGTTAGCAGCATCCCTGGCGTCTGCCCACGAGATGCCTGCGGTGACATTTGCCCCGACTGCCAATCACATCTCTCTCTGAACTGTGACAACCAAAAATGCCTCCAGACCTCGCCAGACGTCCCTCAGGGGGGCCCCCACTTGAGAACCACTGACCTGGGGAATGTCTTAGCTACAAACAAACCAGCATCTCTTAGATCAGCAAGTTTGGGACTACTGCCATCTGTGAATCTTTTTAAAAAAACTTTTAATAATATATATTTTTATTGATTTGAGAGAGGGAGAGGAAGAGATGGAAACATCAATGATGAGAATCATTGATGGGTTGCCTCCTGCACACTCTCTATTGGGCATCTAGCCCACAATCCAGGTATATGCCCTTGACCGGAATCGAGCCTGGGACTCTTCCATCCACAGGCCAATGCTCTATCCACTGAGCCAAACCGGCTAGGGCTCATCTGTGAATCTTAAATGAGTCTTAAAACTTATTAATTTTCCTGCATTGCAATATTCTTAACAAAATAAACCTCAGGTGAATCCAGACTCTCTTGTGCCTATTTGCCCCGTCATTTTGCTTCAACTGTTTGTCCTTCCTTTTAAAGGAGGAGACTTGCTTTTTTCAAAACATTTCATTTGAACCCCACCCCGACCCCATCCCAGGAGGTGACTGGGGTGGGAACCACGTGCTCAGGGAGGTCAGGTGGCTTGTCCAGGGGAACCCCGTTAACCAGCGGAGAAGCCTCGCCGCACTGGGTCCTCTGAGTCCAGCCTGTGCTCCAGGTGCCTTCCTGGCCGAAGGGCCTGGCACTGCAGGGCGGCCGTGCTGGGGGCGGGGACATGATCGGCCACCCCAGAGAAGGCCCCAACCCTGAGGTTTTTTTTTTGTTTTGTTTTTTTTTAATGATCCTGATCTGGCCTCTTTCTTGCCTTTAGAGCCTTGGCTGTGAGGATGGTTTGGGAATAAGACTCTCACTCAGGTGTGATTCATGTTGTTGTCACTTTATTCTTTCCCTCTGTGGCCTGTCCAAGTGTTGGGAGCTTCCAGTGATTAGTTCTTCTCCATCACCTGCGGGACACACCAAGAGAACAGGCAGGTTAACCCCGCGGAGCAGAGAGCTGCGGTGGCAGTGCGCCGGCCAGCTTTCTCCTCCGGCTGTGAGGTCAGCCAGAGGCGGCGGGGGTGGAGCAGCTCGGCTGGCCCGAGGAGTTCCAGGTATCACAGCTTCCCACCGGCCCGCGTGAGCGCCCCTACAGATGATATGCTTCTTGACTCCAGGTGTCTCGCAAAGGGTTCGAGAGCCCTGGACTTGTTAGCAGGCACCGCTGTCTGCAGAGCGCTGCTGCAGGCTGTTTTGCGAGGCGGTTTAGCAGCTTTCTCTGAAACATGTTCACACGCCATCCATGACCCAGGGATGCTGCTGGATGGCTAGAGCAGATGCTCAACCCGTGTGCAAGAATACGTGTCCTGGATGTCCCTGGCGGCTGTGTGGGGGTGGGAACCAAGAAGTAGGGGGAAGCTTCGTTCATTGTGTTCACACCACGGATATTAGGTAGCTAGTTGTTCAAGAGGATGTCATAAATATATGTGCTCACGTGCAAATGTGGTACGGTGTTAAGTGAAAAAACTAAGTTGCAAAGCAGTATGAAGACTAAAATCCTACTTTTGTTTAGAAGACAGTGGTAGATATATATATATATATATATATATATATATATATATATGCCTAAGTGACCGGGCAACCGCTGGTAGCTATGATGCCCACTGACCACCAGGGGGCAGGTGCTCAGCACAGGAGCTGCCAAGTGACAGCACCTTTGCATAGTGCCCGCTCACATCAGGGACCCCTCAGGGGATGTCAGCCTGCCGGTTCCAGCCTGATACCTGCAGGCCAGGCCGAGGGACCCCACCTGCCAGAAGGAGCCCGCTTACTCAGCAGACGCCCTTCAAGCCCCAAGGCCGCCCCAGGTGCAGCCGGCCATGGAGGGACCGAGGGAGGTTGGCTCCAGGGTACATTCTGCCCGTCTTGCTCAGTTCCGCCCCCCTGGCCACCTCCTAATTAATTTACTTTCAATGTGCATGAATCTGTGCACTGGGCCTTAGTGTGGACACAAAGTCCAAAAGACAGCACTGTTCGCAATGATGGTCTCTGGGGCGGGGATGGAGTTGGAGATGCGAGACAAGGGGGACGTGTGTTTCCTCCCCCCCACTTTTTTTTGGTGTATTTTTTTACTTGCTATACTATATTCTTTTAATGTTTTTGAAAAGAGGATGTGTTACTACGTTCTAAAATAAAAATGAAGTGGTGAATGCTGAAGACGCGTGTGTTGCTGTCGTTCAGTGAACACTACTTGAAGAGGTGACTGCCCTCGGCCACCTGTCTCCTGTCATTCTCCGGCTCTTGCCTTTCCATGGCCGACCTCCTGCCCCGGACACCCGTCTGGGTTTGTCGGGGCTGGTGCTCCCCAGAGCCTGTGGGTGACACCTGTCGCGCCGCCGGGCTGTGACGGCTGCGAGGCTTCCCCCGCCTCTGCAGCTGCTGTGCAGCCTCCACCGGGGGACAGCTGGGTGCGGGGTTCCGCCACTCCTGGAACCCGGGACAGGCGGATGTGCCTGCTGGCCGCTGTCCCGTGAACCCAGGCCCTCGCTGCCTCCAAAGGCTTCCTTTCCCGTGGGTCCCCTCTGACATCTGGCCGTGCCTTTGGCTGCGGCCTCCTCTGTGGGGCTTGTGTCTGTCCCCAGGAACAGCTGACGCCGGGACAGAAACGCAGGAGTTGCCCTTGGCCTCTGCTCTGGGCCCTGGAGGTGCTGCCAGGACCAGCTGCCCGGTGACTCACGCGGCAGCAGGGCTGGGAAAGGTCCTGGGATGCGTCTGGGAAAAGTCCTCTGAGCATCCTTCCGTCCGGCCGGTCTGGGGGCCGGCTCCTTTGAAATGCTGGTGACGGACGCTGTAACAGCTAGGCTCCCACTTTCCTCTGCCAAAACGGAGTCGTGGCTTTCCCCCAGTTTACCCAACAACACAACACGAAAACAAAGCCCTCCCCGCGAATAGCCGCTCTGTCCTTGACGTTTCACTTTTCTCCGAGAAACTTGCCGGGAATCCCTGGTGTCTGTGACACCCGTTGGCAAAGCGGAGCCGGCGGCAGACGGACGAGCAGGGAGCCGGCGAGTGTGAACGGCGGACGTGGAGGCAGCCACCTGCTTGTTTTGACGGGGCCCGTCGGATGGGGCGGTTTTCCCCCGGTGACCACATGCTCACGGCTGCTGCTTTGTGTTTGGTTTTATAACAGTGTCAGTTGGAGTCAGTTGAATAGTTTTTGAAAATGAAAATGATGAAATCGGATGCCAGCCTCCCCTTCGGTGGAGCTTGGCCACACACACCCGGCTCCCACTTGCTCTGGCTTTGAAACCCACGGGGGAGTCCTGGTCCATGTCCCATTTCACAGAAGAGCACACTGAGGCGGGGTGATGCCAGAAGGTGAGTAAAAGGGTCCCTAATCAACACAGAGCGTCTTCTTCCCTCCCAGCAGCCATCACTGGGCATAATGCCTCCTCCCAGGCCACCTTTTTTTTGTTTTGTAATCCTCACCCAAGGATTCCCCCCTCCCCGCCCCCGTTACTTTTAGAGAGAGTTGAAGAGAGGGGGAGAAAGAGAAATATAGATGTGAAAGAGACACATCGATTAGCTGCTTCCTGCACTCACCCTGACCAGTGCTGGGGATTGAACCTGAAACGGAGGTATGTGCCCTTGACCAGAATCCAATCCAAGACCCTTCAGTCCGAGGGCTGACGCTCTAACCACTGAGCAAACTGGCCAGGTCCGCCTTTCTTGTGATGACTCTTCCCTTTGGGGCTGCTTACACCTGCTGCTGATTGTAACCCCTGCTTCTTCCAAGATTGGTGCCAGTCTCTTAAAGGATACTTTTTATGACCATTATGGTAGACTAGAGGCCCGATGTACAAAATTCGTGCAAGAGTAGGCCTTCCTTCCCCCTCTGGCACCCGGAACCCAGGCTTCCTCACAGCCCCGGCTTCCTCCCGAAGGCCATCTGGAAGGATGTCCGGTCTAATTAACATATTACCCTTTTATGGTTATAGAAGATGCATGTTCTTTGATAAAATAGGGATTGAGCTGGTGTGGAAGCTTATGAGGCCCTGGTTTTGAGCCATCAGGAGGCAGAGTCCCATTTGTCTGGCCCGTTCCCATCAAAATGGAAAGTCCCGCATCCCAGTTCCTCCGGTCTTGGCAGAGTGGGATGGTCGGCACTACCGTCTGCACTGAGGATGCATGTAGCTAGGGGGCGCTTTTGGGGGAGGAGTCTCCATGAGGATGACTGAGGCGGGTCTCAGCCTACCAGGTTTTGGCCTTTGCAGGTAAATATGCTGATAGCATTGGCAGGTGGGGTCTGGACTTACACGCAATAAGCAAACACAGAACACCCCACTAATCCCAAGGAACCCACGCTGAGTGCCTGAGGACTGTCCTTGGTTTTCCATCGCTACGTGCATTTTCACTCCACGTCACCCACTCAGAAATTGTGGGGCCCGCAGGGGGCCCCCCAGCGGTTGCCCAGGTCTGCAGCCTCCTCTAGG